TTGTGTGAGTGTATGTACACGTGCACATACATGTGTGTGCACTACATCCATACCACACACACAAACTAGGTAAAATAAGTACTCTTCACTGATGGCAAGTTGCTCATCTGTACTGCTCTGACACACACATGTAGCTGTGTTCTCATCAGTAATGGCAGTGTATCACAATGCTGGTCCTTGTCCGGGTTAGCTGGACAGAGAGAGAGTTATTAACATTTAAATGAAGTAATGCAATTTGTGATGTTAGAGAAATACTTCATGGATGAAACTTTATAAATAGATATTTAGTAGTATAGGTATTTGTTTAAAAACTGACAAATATTTCCATTGATATTTGTATTCTTGCTTTTAGAGGAAACTAAAACAAGCAATGGAGATGTACCTGAGGGCACTGTGTCTGCAGATCCTGTTGTGAAATGACAGTATGAAATCATCAGAATTGTCATGATACTTTCCCAGTGACATGGATGATACAGACTGCTTGATAAATTGTCATTTCCGAGGTCACATCATGGAAAATTCTGTATGGCAGTACTCTGGGGTTAAGCCCATTTTATTTCTAATGCTCTAGTTTTCAAGGGCTGAGAAGCAGATATTAAAATTGGATCTTTCTCTGGAGTGTAGGCTGAAGATGCTCCTGTGAAACTCTCTGTCATAAAGCTCTATGGAAGGGAAAGGCCAGATCTCCTTTGCCTCCCATTTCCTGTATTCTGTGTCTGTAATTTGGGTGTGTCTTTAGTCCATGTTCATCTCAAATCATGGGAAAGTCAGTGCATATACTGAGCACAGCCAGTACATGCTCGATTTAAAAAAGTCGAGCACGAAATTCATGAAGCATCTGTTTCAAAGACTGAGTATGTATTGATGCTAGAGGTGAGGCAGGGTGGCCATCTGTGCAGTGTGGCTAACTGGTGATCCTTCCTGTGATGGTCAGTTCCGTGTGACTCACATGAGCTGCTGATGTCTTTGATGAGACATTTTATAATAGTTTACATTGCTTTGGGAACATTTATCCTCCAACAGTTGCTTTAAATTTAAGATTTACTTAATCTTCAAAGAAAACTCAGATTAAGCCATAGACTCCCACTTGAAGCTTCACTAAGTCTGAAAGCACTCTGTGATACTGGGGAAAAAAAGAAGGAATTGTCCTACATCCAAACTCAGGTTCTTCATTACATTAAATTGAAATTTTGGTGGCAGTGTAGACAGATTTTTACTTTAAATCCAGTATAATCTAAGACGTGATTAAATAATAACTGCACCATGGCAGGCTTTCAGCAATTTACCACTGTGAGAATGAAACTAGTAAGTCACTTCCTGATTTTAAAAGAATGATTGTGAATAAATTTAGTTCCCAACAAGCTACTAGCTTTATTTTTGTAAAGTTATGCTAGTTAATGGTTAAATGGATTAATCATGGCCTTTTTGAACGTATAATAAGATGATGCCTTTGGGATGAAAAGGACGGTTTAAAACTTTAAATGTAATGCAGACATTTTTTGGAAATACTTGTTTTTCTATTGCATTTGCCTGCTTAACCATTTCTTTGGATAAACCTTGCAAACACTCCTAACACTTAGAATTCTGACACTGTTCCTTAGTTCCAGCTTTTGGAATGGAGATATAGGGCTGTGCCTGGACTTACTGGTTAGGCTTGGGAACTTTCCCAGACCATGCTAAATAAATACTATGACTGTTAAAGCAGAAGAAACAGAATAGATTAGAAATGTTTTTTTATTATGTAAACATGGCTTAGAGAATTATGAACAAAGGATGGATTAAAGGCATTTAATGTTTGTAATTGATACTAACTGTAGAGATGGCCCTAAAGCATGCTGCATAATTAATAATTTATATTTTCATTATTATAAATGTTTATATTAATGATACTGGATTTGATTATATCAGATTAGTCACCATTTTATAGTACCAGGATTTTCTTTTTTTAAAAAATGTTCATTGTTCGTTACTCCTACACATTAGAGTTCACATACCGACCCCCTGGACACTTAAAATTGGGAAGAAAATGACAGATAATGTTTTACCTTTAGTTAGAAGTAATGTCACTACAGTCTGGATAAATTATAGTAAGTTTGTGTATTTAAATAAAAATCTTTGAGGAGATTTAAATGGTATTAAACTGCAGAGCACAGGGCTTCAGTGTATTCATGTTTGAGTTAACGTGTCCTTTGGATGATGCTTTTCCTTGCTAACAATATTTTTTCACGCATACTGTGATTTAAATATTAACCTGAGTGTTTTATTGTAAATTCACAGAAAACTTAATGATGTTCCAATTCTCAGGAATTAAGAGCTAACCATAACATTGTCAGTTCTAATTAGATTTTGTAAAAGACAGCAAGTTTGTTATCTCACTTGAGGGGGTCTCCTTTTCCTCAGCTCTAATAGAATACATTATGTGTAATAAAACATTAATAAATATAATTTCAGAATTGTCCTTCCCTTGAGTGTTTATGGCCAGAATTGAATGTCTTCAGCAGTAGGTGTTGTTAATGTGGTTTTGGTGGTGTGTGGAGCTGAGGGTTGACCTAGGCAAGCAGAATGCTGAGTGGTATTCCATCCTAGGACCTTTCTTAGGTTCCCTTCCTAAAATACATGCAGAGTCTCTCTGCCTCTCCCCCTCTCCCTCCCTATTTTCCTCTTCTCTCCCCTTCCCCCTCCCTCTCTTTCTCCCTCCCTCACTTTCCTCTCTATGGTTTGGGATTGCATGTCTGTGTCCAGGTCAGGAATTTTCCTTTCCTTTATAGACTCTTGATCATTCACAGGGTGATTCTCTCAACTAAGAAGAACAATTGTGAAGTTACTTTCTTTCGGAGTCCAGGAAAGGGGTCGATCTCAAGTTTCTTTGACATGCTATAATAAGCATGTAATAAACAAGAGTTGTTATTTTTCCCTTAGAGCCTTGCTATCTGATCTCAGTCTGGCTTTAATCTTAGAGTGCCCTTGCTTTGGCCTCCCACGTGTTGAGGTTACAGGCATGCACCATATGCCACTTGCCTAGAAGCCAGGTCCTGACCCTGTCTGCTCTGTGCTCCATGTCCTCCGGCAGAAGTTGGCACAATAATAGTATTTAGCGTGGTTTCTAAAGACTATCAATTTTTTAATATAAAGCATTTTATATGTTAAGAAACAGTACTTTAGAGCCAGACATGGTGGCAGTATACCATATTCTAGCATTTGGGAAAGCCAGGAGGAATCTTGAGTTTGTGGTCAGCCTGGGCTAGATGGTGAGACCATGTCTCTCTGTAGAAACAACAGTGCTTAACTAAATTTAGTTCCTGTATATAAAGCGCTGTGAATATTAGCTAGTGTAACATTTAGGTTGTTAATCTCTATTTCCGTTGGATGTGTGTGCTACTAATCCCCGGTAAGTAGCTCTGCTAGTTGTAGACTACTGCTCCCATCATCATTAAGGTGTGTGTGTGTATAGAATTAAAACATCCACGCGCACTACTCTATAATCTGCACAGAAGGTAACTTAGAGAAGCCGAAGGCTGACCCCACACTGGGAATGGAAATTGGCAGCTTCCTAGACTTATTTTAATGTGCTTTCAATGCATTAGTGTGCACTTTGGTAAACTGAGACAAAGGACTGAGTCAAAATGTAAAAGTATGTACTGCATTTAATAGACTATATGTGAAGCACTTGGGAAGCCACCAGGTATGTGGCTTAGCCCCACCACCTTAGCAGGCCTGTGGGTCAGGTGGTGGCCATCTGCCCCTGCTTTGTAACAGCCTTTCCCCCAAGTAATACAGGTAAGTTAGTGTCAGTGAATCTGTTGTGACTTTATGCCTTTAGTTCAGTGCTCTGAAGTAGTTGATTGAGTTTCCTTCTCTCACGTCTGGCTACATGCATGTCAGTGTTTTATTCTTGTGTTGATAACTGGGTTTCTGTAGCTGGGATAATGTAATCATTTTCATACATGTCCTGGGGTGTTTACAGAAACCAAAAGATGCTAGGACGTGCATTATGGAACATGGAACGGACCCCATGTCGTCCGTGGATGTGATCCATCGCTTTACTCTGCCATCTGTGCATATGTGGATTTCACCTCCTGGTTACTTGAGGCAGCATATTTGTTTCTAAGCCCTTGGAACCCATGAGATTCTTGGCTTTCTGTGTCCTCACAAAGTATTTTATATATTTAGGTATTTGGCCTTATGTGTTTGTTTTTGAGACAGGGTTCTCTGTAGCTTTGAAGCCTGTCCTAGAACTTGCTCTGTAGACCAAGTTGGCCTTGAACTCAGAGATCTTTTTGCCTCTGTCGCCCGAGTGCTGGGATTAAAGGCATGCTCCACCACCTGGCAGCTCTGTGTTTTTTGAAACAGGATTTTATAGTTTATTTTGGGCAGCTTTAAAGTCCATACATGACCCAGGCTGGCCTGAAATTCATCTTTTTTGGCCCCGAGGGTCAAAAATGTTTGTGTGCCACTGTCATTGACATCCAGGCATGATGACACCTATAATTCCAGCATTTAGTCAGATGCAGGACTGGAGGGCCAGCCTGGGCTAACAATAGCAAATAAAGAGATAGAACAATAAATTTTTATTGCTAAATTATTACAAAGATAGGTTGATGTAGTTGGTTACAATTAAGTATGTTGCATGATTTGAAGGTCTGTTTCATAATTAGCAGGGTTGGAAATTGGTCTGGAACTCCAGGACCCCAGAAACACCAGGGTAAAAACAGGAACTTCACCTGAGCCTCAAGTGAGTTCTGAAAGTAACTGGTCCTTTGAGAAAGGTCTGGCTCAGAAGAAACAGGAACTAGTAGAGACTAGTAGAACTAGTAGAGCTGCTGTCCCTTGCTCACAGTGAATAGCCACAAAAAGCAGCCACTCTAGATGACCTAAAGCTTCTGATGAAAGATGCTGTTGTGAGGACTTGCTGTCTCTGCTAGTGTTGAGACCAAACTGCATAGCAGGAGACCAGTGGGTTATAAACACCTCTTTAGAATGACAGGCACTTAAAAACTATGTGAAATATAAAAATAGACCATATTAACAGGAGCTATTTAGTATTTAGCAAAGTGGAAATCCCAGGATTTTGCCATTTTAAAAAAGGATTGTAGAGACTGAAGTGATGTCATCCAAATAAAGTGAACAATGCATGTTTTATAGCTCTCACTCTGGGTGCCCGACAGCACAGTCTGAAGCAGAGACTTACCACAGAGCACCTACAATAGCATTTGTAGCTGGGCACCATTCCTTACTGTTCCCTCCCAAGTGACTGTCAAGGCATCCAGGGGTACATCCACATGTGACTGTCGGCATTCTGAAATCAGGTCAGTGTGCCTGTACGTCAGAGAAGTTGAAAACCCCCTAAGGAGGCGGTTCTCTTCCCAAGCTCTCCGACCCCCGATGCCCAAGTGAGTCACGCTTCAGATTCTGCGCCTCTGCTGCCACTTGGACTGCCGCCAGTGTCATCTGGTTGATCGTTTAACAGTACATACTTTCCGTCATTGGTTAGTGGTATAGACAGCATTAATTGAGCCAGTGCTTCTGGATCCTGAAGTTAAGGGAGTTTAAGAGAAGGGAAAAAGAAAAAGCTTAAGATGCACTTAACCCCTGTGGCTTGGCCTCCCGTGTTCTGTTTGTGGCCCCGCTCCTAACTATTCTCTGTGAGCTGCCATCTGAAGAGGCTCGAGGCATTGAGTAATGTACCCAGCTGATAATTGTCCTCCTCCAGAGTCTGCAGGGCAACCCGTTCATAACACTTGCCTTCCACATCAAGTCACTGTGTGCACGCGCGTGCGTGCGTGCGTGCGTGCGCGTGGAGAGTTGGCAGAAGCTGTACAGGAGCCCGCTGTGCATGTCTGTCTTCATATTCTCATGGGTCCTTTTGTACAGCAGTGGAATTGAATAATGGGACTGCAACAAGCCTAAGGAAAGGCCCTTCGTGCCAGTGTGTGCACTTGTGACCTAGACCATCACATTCTAATTTGTAGCACCCCTGCCCCTTGGGCAGACTGAAGCTGTTGGATAAGATGGAGGTCTCTGTTTATTTCTGTAAGTTCCCGGTTGGTGGTTATCAGTGCTGCCGGGCCTGGAGCTAGGTGGTAGTGTGGGTGATGAGTACTGTTTAAGTGTGAATTGAGTATTGGATCTTAATTTGAAAGAGAAGAACTCTGGCCAGTTTGAATGCAAGCATGAAAGTTAGTAAAGGTGACGCTGCAGCAGCCAGTGCTATCCAGTTAGGTGCAAACATGTGTTACCAGATGGAGTCACCTGCTCATACGCGTCTCGTTAGAAAGCTTGAGTGAGAGAAACCCAAAGAAGCACGAGAGTATCAGCTGAGTCTCACTGTGTCTACAAACATTTTTTGAGTAGTTTCCAAACCAGTGCTAAAATGCATCTTACCTTTTGAACCTCGATAATTTCTTTCCCCAAATTAATAGCGTAACATATCTGTAAAAGACAAGGGAAATGGTTTTGGCAAAGGTAGTGAGAGGTGACGCCATAGAGACAGTGTGATGTGAGGAGCAGCGCGGCTGCGGTCTGCTCACGCCCGAGGGAAGGCAGGCCCCGGCTGCAGGACTTGTGTTCAAAGGCACTGTTTGGACGTACAGAAACACCCAGGTAAGCGAAAGACCCAAGTTGTTTACCAGGTGGGGTCAGGGTTTCTCATAAAAAAGAACAGTTTTATGTTCTTTCCTTGCTTTCCTCTGAGACTGTTTCCTGTGGTAACTTTGCTTTAATTTATTTAAAGCAGTGGTTCTTACCATGTGGGTCACGACCCCATTGGGAGGGGACAGGACACTTTCACAGGGGTCATCTAAGACCACTGGAAAACTGATTGAATTATGAATCCAAACCGCAAAATTAGTTACAAAGTAACAACAAAAGTAATTTTAAAGTCTGGTGTCACCACAACATGAGGAACTATATCACAGAGCCACAGAATTTGGAAGACTGAGAACCATTGCTTTGAAAGAACAAAGGTGCTTTTTAGCATTTCATGATGCTAAACTATTATATATAGCTATTAGGGTTGTTCTCTTTAGGTGGGGCCTTCCTAGGATGTCTAGATGGAGGCATGAATAATTAACCAGATGGATAGTGAAAACCCAGGTCCACTAAAGACAGCCTTACAGAAGTGTGGAGGGGAAAGAGACAGACAGACAAGACACCTTTTCGCCTTCTGAGTTGCTTTCAAAAATGTATGTGCTCAGGGACTCTTCTCCTGTAGACTCCGGCACTCTGATGACAAAGCCAACCAGTCTTTTGTTTTCTCGGTGAGCAGCAAACTGTGTGACACTGGTAAGTTCAAACTTGGGGTGGGGGACAGGACAGGGGACAGAATGAGTAACCACACAGCTGTAACTTAAAACCAGCACAACTATTCTGTATTGAAGAGCTAAGAAGGCTGTATTGTGGGGGACAGGGCAGCCATTCAGCTTGGCAAATAATCACATGCCTGGATTGGGGCTCCAGGGGCAGAGGGAGATGCGGTATAATCAAACATTAAGACACAGCAGGTACTTACACAGGCCCTTGACACTTGAGTTTGAGGATCTATCAACCTGAAATTGTAAGAGGCGTTGGTCACACTCACACCCTCAGAAGAGTTTGTAGGTCATGATGAAATCACACCAGTGTCCCACATATGAAAAGCAAGGCCTGGTTCAGGAAAGGGGACAGTCCTACATGAACCTGTGGTGCGGTTTCTACCTTAGCTGAACTGCTGTGTTAAACCAAGGTGCCTGCTGTGGAAGGCTCCACAGCAAATAGGACAAGAAGTCCCGGGATTTGGCGCTGGCTTCTGTAGTTCTGATGTCTATAGCAACTTTAATTGCCCAGAAGTACCGAAACACTTTGCTCCATCTCGCTCGGAGAGGGAGGAATGTTGAGAGGGCAGTGAAGGGCTGCGAGTAAACTGTGGCCACGCCTGTGAAGGCCAGCGAGGGATCTGGGGATGGCACAGTGGTAAGAGCCAGGTGTGGCTGCGTAGACCTGAAACTTATTGAGGGATTGATACAAATTTTACAGGTGAAAGCAAAATGCAGTTTATAAAAATGTCTAGAACAAGCAAATATGCAGAGATCATTTTAGATTTTAAGCATGTGTCAGTTTCTATAGAATTGTTTTAAAAGTAGGCTTTATTTATAAATTTTAATTCTTGGGAACAAGGTCCCTAATCCCCTGTCCCCTCCCAAAGGGATACATTTAAATAAGGAGGTGGGCTGGCAAGAAGGCTTGAGGAGCAAAGCATTTGCTGCCTGACTCTTGAGTCTGGTCTCTGGAACTGACAAAGTTGTCTTCTGACCTCCACACATGTGCCCGTGGCATGCGTCATGTGTACCCAGTGTAGTTACTGAAGACCGAAGTGACACCCTGGCATGGCTGGCATGCATTAGTACGTCTCTGTGCTACCTCATAGTGGCAGGAAGGGTTGAGGACTTAGGCGCTACCGCTCCAAGAATGAGCTACACATACTATCTTAAAGAGGTGCCACCCACAGAACTCAACCAACACAGGTGAAACTGACCAGTCACATGTAATGAAGCTAAAACATGGGATTCAAAATGCTTCCCACTGATGCTAGAACCATGTCTGTTCCAGCTAAGTAGGCAGCCTGTGTTCCGTGGCTACAAACTGTCTCTGTGCTTAGAGCCTGACTTCACAGGTACCTGCTTAGTGCACACGGGCGTTACATGGTGCGGTCGCACGCGTGCGTGTGTTTCCTCTGCACAGAAAAAAGGTTCCTTTGATAATTGGGCTATTTTTATTTTAGACAGATTCACATTCTTTGCTTTGAGATGATACAAGAAGACTAGCAATAGCATCATTAGGGACAGTCCAGGTTGGACAGCACTCATCTGAAAACTCTCAAATTGGAAACGTGTGGATGTGACACCGCAGTGAAAGCCCACACCATGGAACCTTGTCTCTTGTGCAAAATAGACACATTGTGTATAGTTAACATTATTTGTAGGCTATGTGTGTAAAGTACAAATTTTATGTGTAAGTTTGGGTCTCATTCCCAAGTTATCTCATATTGATGTAAAAATTTGAAAAAAGAAAAGTCAGAAACAGATAAGGGCTACTGGGTCTGTAGTCACTAATAACAGGAATCTTTTACTTCTTGTTTGTTCTTTTTTTTTTTTTCAAGACATGGTTTCTCTGTATAACAATTCTGGCTGTCCTGGGACTCACTCTGTAAACCAGGCTGGCCTCGAACTCAGAGATCTACCTGCCTTTGCCTCCCGGAGTGCTGGGATTAAAGTGTGCGCCGCCACACCCGCTGATAACAGGAATCTTAAGGCAGGGTTCTTGCTGGCTCCAACCCTGCTCTAATCTCCCAAATGCTAGACTGCCACATACGCACTGTTACACCCAACCAGTCCTTGGTAAGAACGCATTTTTTATCTGAATGCCAAAGTGCAGAAAGGGTGTAAGTAGAAACATTGGCACTACCGCCCCACGTGGGTAAGCACTCCTTCCACAGGCCGGCTGGCCGGTCTGAAGTGAGGGAAGGTACCTCAGGGTCTGACTGGTGACCATCAGGTGGGACTCCGTCATGCGGAAGACGTTGTGAATAGCTCGGGCAGCCAGCACTTGTCTCATGACTTCATAAATCACTTCGGGGGTGTGGTCTGTCCTAACTGCCATTGATCCCAAAAACCGGACGACGAACATCTGCTGCAAGAGAGAATCTGCAAGACAGCACGCTCCACTCAGGGTCACGGTAACACGCTTACGCACGACCAATGCCGGGAGCCTGAGAGCACGTGAAGACCTGAGTCTTACTCACTTTGTCTGCGTCAGGGTTTCTCTGTGTAGTCTGGCTGTCTGGGAACTAGCTCTGTACACCAGGCTTGCCTTGAACTCAACAAGATGAGCCTGCCTCTGCCTCTGCCTCTGCCTCTGCCTCTGCCTCTGCCTCTGCCTCTGCCTCTGCCTCTGCCTCTGCCTCTGCCTCTGCCCCCCTAGTGCTGGGATTAAAGGTGTGTGCTCTTGCGTCTGTGTCTGGAGTTAGTTTTTTATTTGGGCAGGGTCATGCTATGTGGACTAGGTGGTCTTTAACTCAGTGACTACTGTCTCACCCTTTGCAGTTCTGGGATGCCCCATCTTCCCAGAGTCTGAAATGCTGCGAGGACTCTGCAAAGTCAGCTGGGTACATGCTATCTAATTTTAAAGCACAGGTTGTTTATAACAACAAAACCGTTTACCCAAATTCTTTTTTTAAGGTTTATTTTTATTTTGCATTTATATAAAAAGTTTTGCTTGCATGTATATGCCTGTGGAAGCCAGAGATGGTATCAGATCCCTCAGCTGGAGTTGACAGGCAGTTATAAGCAGGCTATATAGGTCCTGAGAACCAAACCCAAGTTGGGGTCTTCTGCAGGAACACTAAATGCTCTTAACTGCTGAGTTCTCTCTCCAGCTCTGTTTATGCAAATTTAAAATAAAATTTTATGTGTATATGTATGTGTGCCTGTGCATGCCTGGTGCACGTAAGTCCAGAAGAGGGCGTTGTATCTTCTGGAGCTGGGGTTACAAATGGTTATGAACTGCCACGTGGGTGATGGGAATTGAACCCAACCCTAGGCCCTGTGTAAGAGCAGCAAGTGATCCGTGAGCCATCTTTCCAGCTATCTCTTGTCTCCTGCAAATTCTTAAGTATTATTAAACATGAGGGGAGTCATTGGAAAGAGTTCCATACTAGTGACAGTCTGAGATTTCAAAATCTGCTGAACTGAATTAGGCCTTGCACTCAGTAATCCCTCTGTCTCAGCTTCCCTAAAGATGGGATTATAGATGTTTGCTACCATCTCGGCTCCTAAGGTTCCATTTTAATTATGATCATTGTTTCCTCTTTGAAAATCTGCTTTATATTTAGGAACTTAAAAGGGACGTGTGTGGCAAAAGCTAAGGCGGCCGTGTGTCCCTTCCTCTTTGTCCAGGTTGTTCAGGGACAAGCTGGAGGGTCAAATCTGAATTCCTATGCTACATTAGCTCTAGCAGGTGACCTCTCACCCCCAGGGGTCAACGAATAAGAACACAAACTGTGCACTTACCTTCTGCTTCGGGGAATGACTCATCCTCTGTCTCACCAAAAGGGTTGGTACGCCTAGGAGAACAGCCAGAGGTCAGCAGTGGGGGTGGGGGGGTGGGGGGGGCTGCCAAGAGCTCTGCACTTGATGCTTAGTCAGAGGCTAACACAGTAGCAGTCTTTAGTGGTGAGTAAAGACAGACAGACCGGCTTTCGCTCTCCCAAACAGCTGGCTCCCTTGGGCCATACCTGCCGCCCCTGTTCTGGTCACGGAACTCTGTTGCAGGAAGGACAATATCGAACTGGATGGGAGTCCCATGTGCAATCAGATCCTCCGTTTCAGGGACGCTGCCTGTTGCTTTGGGAACAATCTTGTCATTTTCTATGTCTGAATTCTTCATGCTCTGACTAAAATGTAAGAAAAAAAATTGAACAAATTTAGTTTAACGTTGTGACTTTTACATACTGAAATACAAGGGAGCCCTCAACCAGTCTCGGTCCATTCTACAAGTAAGCAAGCCTGCCTCAGCTTCACACCCTTGGCCAACACCGTCCGTCACCTCTTTACCACCCCCAGCCCCTCTGTTGCCGAACATCCCGGCAGTATTAGAACTCACAGACTTGAGACCCGGGGTTTGGGAGTCGGGCCATAGGCAGCTCACATTTACACACTGATACAGAGGCACTAAAAACACATTAGCTGAGAGAGCAAACAGCTGCACCTGACATTTTCACTGTAACCTGGTCCTGACCCAGACCCCTTTTCACTCACCCAATACACCCCCCACTTGAGACAGCAAGCATACTATGTGTTCTTGTTTCTGAATAATGCAATTCCAACTCTCCCACCACCATCTCAAATTCCACTAACTAAGCCAGCCGCACCTTCTGTGGATGACGTGACAACTTCTCAATAGGTCACAATGTTTGGTGCCCGTGTATCTCCTAAACACTGCACTGTGGCATCTACAGAGACAGCACCGATAAAAGCAGCACACTCCTTGCTGGTAGATAGCCTGTCTGTCTGTCCCACACCGCAGGGTAGACAGCCTGTCTGTCCCACGCTGCCCTGTTTCTTTATCTTGAGGTTAAAATGCTGTCATTTAATTTTACCCTTTAAAAACCCGTAAGGTATAGTGTAGACTCCTTTGAAGGGCATATTCCTTACAGCGCCTGGACCATAAGTCCTCAGTGATCTTTTCACTTGTTAATTTTACATAAACATTTTCTGGGTTCTCAAACATGTCAATAACTGAATACTGAATGGAAACTGCAATGGTTCTCTGACAGACTTCTATCCGGTGAAACATGGCTAGAAACAACTGCACAGTTTGGAGACAGTCCTGTTTCCCCACTGACCCATCTCTCCTAGCCAGTTCATCCTACGGATGATGCAGAATAATTTCTGTTAACTTGGTCCTGACTGTCACCTCAGTCAGAACCAATTACAGCCCTGCCTGTAATTTCTGAGCAGGGATTACCCAGGCCTTTACAATGACTTGACTCTATCTGTTGTCCTTACAAACCATTCCTTCTCATGCATAATGCCAAATGCATGAACCCCAGGAAGCTACACAAAAAGTTCCCTAAGCACTTCCTTTTAGATCACAAAAGTAGTTTTGATTTTAATATGTTCCTTGATGCCATTAACACAACAAATAAGACGGCCTTCTACTACCTAGTCGACTCCTTGAAAACTCCCATTGAGACAAAGCGTAGGCGTCCTAGTATACATCTGTAAGCAGTATTCAAGGGAAAAGCTGTAAGCATATTCAGATGAGACACACGATGCCTATGATTCCAGCACTTGGGGGGTGGGGGGGTCGAGGCGAGGAGGGCTGCTGGGACAATGAGGCCAGCCCAGGTGGTATGACGAGACTATCCCACCCCACATCCCAACAAAACATCAAGCAGCTCAATGCTCAGTAAAGGACTGGTAGACTTACTGAAATAATTATGACAACGTAGTAACGTAAGTGAAAACTTAAGGACAGACAAGCAGAAAAGGCTCAGCCAGGAATGGGCACACAGGTGACTAGGGTGACAGTGCTGAGATCTAACAGGAGGTAACGTCTGTTGTACCAGTGTCCTGAACGGGGACACTGAAATCAGATTAAATACTGGCTCCACCGCTCATCTGTGCTGTGGATGCGGGCATATTACTATTTCTGGCCCCAACTAGTGCGTCTGTTGCACAATCCTTGGGGATTGTGAGGGTTAAGAACAACTCATTTCAAATGCCTAACACAGTTTGGCTCCGCAGAAGGTAATTTTTCCTTGTCCTTTAGTTACCTGGAGCAAGAGCTTTCTTGTTTCTTTCCAAAGCTGGTAATTGGAGTCACTGCCTGAAGAGCCGTCTGGTTCAGCTTGATGGCCACTGCCTACACGTAAGCCACAGGACACACGCTCAGTCCAGGAAGGGATGCCCACCTTGCAGGTGAAGTGCAGGCAGGTACTAATTACCTCTGGGTTGTCCGTCAGGTAGATCTGCCTGGAGATGTTGTTTATGGCACATATCCACTGTGGAGGACATTAGAAAGAATACTGAATCCCAGCTCCTCGACACAGGAGGACAGAGGTGACACAGACAGAACTTTACCTCTTCGTATTCCTTTCTGCTCTCTGCTTGGAGAATGATTCCCCTGGAACAAACAAGATGCATCAGTGCTTCCCAGGTTGGACCCAGGACACCCTGGCATGGGACAGAAGGGAAACGGGACTGCAGGCCGGGCCCTTCCACAGGCCACAGTCCCAGCCTCGTTCTCCATATGACAAGGCTGGACGTGGGTCATCTAGTCTATGACTACAGGGAGAACTGTCTTGATGCTCGGGATATTACCCGCCCCTTCTCCAGCTTTGTTTGAGGAAGGACCTAGCGTGTACCTAAGCATTCAGTGTTCATACACTGAAGGCATTCCACCTTTATGACGGCCTTAGCTCTTTTAGGAGCTCTCTGTGGCAGAGGGGACACAGATGTCATCCCTGTGTCTGGGAAGATGCAGGCCCAGCGGTGTTCAGGAACTACATGGGACCTCTAGAATCTGGCACCTTAGTCCTGAGCCGCTGACCATTATCAGAGGAAGAACTGTGTAACTGCTTTACTAAGTTGGGGAAGGGATGGACCACAGGCTCCCCCCATTCCCACCACCACTCTCCAGGCAGGAGAAGCCTGAAGTATTTCTTAGGATTGAGAACTCTAAACAGACTGAAACCGCTGTTCTATACAAGAGGGTAACCATTGGGATGGGACCTACTATGACCTTTGGGCAATAAGGTCCCAAGGTGTGGGGATAGTGTGGGTAAATGACTTCTGTAGGCAATGCACTGCTCACACTCTGTAGATATCTGCCCACACTGTAGAGGATGCACTGCCCACACTCTACGCTCTGTGGAGATGCACTGCTCACTCTGTATACTCTGTGGAGATGTACTGCCCACACTCTGTAGGCAATGCACTGCTCACACTGTAGAGGATGCACTGCCCACACTCTACGCTCCGTAGAGATGCACTGCCCACACGCTGTAGACAATGCACTGCCCACACTTCGTTGGACAGTTTCCTGCCTGCTCCCCTTAGCCTTGCCCTGAAACAAGAGTTCCAGCTTTCTCAGGTCTCTGCTGGGCAGCATCTGCTACATCTGTCTTATACACATCATCTCTCCCCCCCCCCCCCAGACACAGCAGGACCCTCACGGGGGCCCCTGAGTCAGGTGAGCTGGGTCCCAGTGGTCACTGTATGTGTTCGCAGAGAACCACCCTTGGGAAGGAGGCGATGTGGCCTCCCCCGTGGATGGCTGGCACATAGGGACCAGAGCTAGCGGCTGTCAGCAGGGGCAGTCCCTACACTGCCCTCCCAAATAAGACACGAGGCATACGGTTTGCCACTGGGTGTGGAGATCTGGAAGCAGTATCGTCGGTCTTCACAATCCACCGCCATCACAGAGCAGTTGTCCAGGTCCTGAATCAAGCCTCCAGCCACGGCTCCCCTGGGCTGGCACATGAGGTTCCCGCCTTGGGTGAAGAAGTACAGCCTCTCCCAGGTGGTGGTGACCAGTCCTGTCTTGCTGCGGGATTGTGTGTGAAGGTCAATTAGCATTAGGACATGGAACGGCCCCTCCATACCATGCCGCCTGTTCTTAGGAACTGGCACATTTTAGAATGTCTTTGCATTAAAAGGAAACCTTGGAACTCTGTGAATAGTGGCAGAAACGGAGTTACGCTTGTGTCACTGGGAAGACAGCCCTGTTCCTGTGAGGAATGGTAACACCAATGCCAGCTATGCAGGCACATATGCCTACTGTTGCCTGGCAGGCCCACCAACCCTAACTAGAATCTGCCTATCACAATTGAGCCTCAGCAGCTTCCCACGTCAGGCTTGTGACACTATTCCGCACGAGCCTTACTGGCCGCATGAGAAACAGCTTCTGGGGCCACCTCCCAGCAAAGGACTACATGGCATTCTCACTTTCTGAGGTTGAGGTAGCCAGCCTTCTGGATGAGGTTCCTGTTGATCTGTGGTGTGGCCACGTCAATGTCCGGAGTATAGATGGATTCATCGACTGACAGCAGCTCTTGCTGGGACACCCGCATCTTGTCTGCCTCAGCTTCCAGTTCCACCTGAATGCTTAAGGCAAAAGGTTTCAGGTCAGCCACTCGGCACAGGCCAGCTGACCACTCCTAAGCCACGAGGTGGCAGGGCCTGCCCCACCCACTGACACTTCCTGTAGTGAGATAGTTCTGTGGCACTGACCACGCCCATTGGGGGGTGGAGCCATGGGCGGAGTGACCTGAGGAAGGAGGTCAGAGGGGAGCCAGGAGAGGCTCTCTTTCTGGCGTGACTCGGACAGGAGAGGATCGGGTTGAATTTCCTGGTGTTCATCTGTCTAGGTTGTAAGTTATTTCTCCCTGAATAAACATCTATTTGGCCTATTTGTTTATCCTGATCCTTATTTACGGCGATAACTTCCTGCATCACAGATGGAGCCTCCAGCTTCCCACGTGACACAGCTCTCCACCCTCCACGTATGTCCAGAAAGCCACCCTAGCAGAAGTGAGGTACGGCTAGTGTTCTAGAACAGAACTGGCTCAGGGTGCCACATGCACACCTGCTACTGCACGCAGGTCACAGAGGCCACTCTGGGGACCCATCCTCAGGGGACCCATCCCCAGGGTAACACGCAGGCATTCCTATTGGAACGGAACAATAATGCCTAGCTCAGGGTCTGAGAAGACTAAGAGACAGAAATGACCGGGAAGTACCAAGGTACAACAGTAAGCCAAGGCTTGTCCTGTGACCGTCACAAACAGCCCACGGAGGACAGGGGCCAGTGAGCAGGTTCTGAGGTGACAACACTCGCTTCCCGTGCCCTGTGCCTATGTGGGCAAACTTGGAACTTTCACCTCTCACCAGACTCTTCACCTACTGCTGACAGATGGAGGCTGACAAGTCTAGGGCAGAAATTCCCAGATGGCCCACACATCTGAGAACACCAACCAGAAATAAAGAGTCCACTTCATACGAGGTTACACACAAGACAGAACATGGCGGGCACAAAGACCTAGGTAGCAAAGTCACACTGGTCACTGTCTCAGGGTCAGCGCCAGGGTCTGCTCTCCGCTTCCCTGAGCCATCAGCTCTCAGGTGACGCCTGCATCAGGCACTTCTCTCACTATGTAGACCAGGCTGGCCTCGACCCAGAGAGCTGCCTGGCTCTGCTTCCCGTGTGCTGGGATTAAAGGCGCGCACCACACCCAGGCAGTGGACAAACCCCACTGAGGTTCTCCAGTTTCTGTGGTTAAGTGTGGTGGAGTAATCTTTTTGTACACTGTGGAGCGTCACTCTTATTAAACCAAGCTGAATGGCCAATTGCTAGGCGGGGTTTCCAGGCACAGGGTGCTGGGGAGGACAAAGAAGGAGACATGGAGGAAGCGGCGGGGGGGGGGGGGGGGGGTGGTATGAACACTATACAGGGAGGTAAACGGGCCTTAGGGCAGCACGCAGATTAATAGAAATGGGATAAGTTATAAGAGCGAGCTAAAAACAAGCCTAAGCTATGACACACAGCTTTCATACTTAAGTCCCTGTGTCATGATTTGTGAGCTGGTAACCCAAAGAAAAATCGGGTTACAGGTAAGAGGAGCTCCCTGAAAGACACTGTCCCTCAGAGTGTGAAATCTGGCAAGCAATTCAGGGAGGTTTTACAGCTGCTTTGCTGTCTACTGCTGAGAATCCTAATTGGAAGCTGCAAGACCCCGAAGCAATAGTAACAATGCTTTCAGCCATTCCTCTCCAGAGCCGACACACAGGCTCTGCAACACCAACACGTGGAGTTAGGGACCACACCCTGCATCACCAGGGGTTAGTTAGGGACCACACCCTGCATCACCAGGGGTTAGTTAGGGACCACACCCTGCATCACCAGGGGTTAGTTAGGGACCACACCCTGCATCACCAGGGGTTAGTTAGGGACCACACCCTGCATCACCAGAGGTTAGTTAGGGACCACACCCTGCATCACCAGGGGTTAGTTAGGGACCACACCCTGCATCACCAGGGGTTAGTTAGGGACCACACCCTGCATCACCATGGGGTTAGTTAGGGACCACACCCTGCATCACCATGGGGTTAGTTAGGGACCACACCCTGCATCACCAGGGGTTAGAGAACCACACCCTGCATCACCAGGGGTTAGGGACTAAAACACCCTAGCTCTTCAGGGTGGTTGGAAACCATGCTGCCCTGACTGGACATCAGCCGGGTTTTGAAAACATGTGAGCGCTTAGGGCTCCTGTGCCCACCTTACAGGAATACAAAGATTGAGTGGCAGCACCAGGCAATCCCTGAGGCCTCACAGGGTGGGCTGTGTCTGCATACTAGGTGGCAGCAGGGGATACTCATGCCTGGAGAACAATGGTAGCTTTTCCTCACTGGCATGAAATTCAAGCACTAAGAAAATTAGCTTCCTGCCAAGAATAGTGATGCTCTTATCGTAGAGGCTGCGGAAAAAGGATGAGGCAGGAGCTGGGGCAACCCTCCCAACACCAAGGACAGGAAGACCATCTGAGGAGAGACACAGGTTTTTCACAGGTGGCTGAACTATAGCTGGCTGAAGTAAACACAAAGGCTTAGCACCTTGCTTGTCTAGTGTGAACTAGCACAACCCTGGATTTTCCCGAAAAGTTGGAGCAATTCTGGTTGCTGATCCCATTAGTTTAGAAGGAAAGCTAATCTACATTTCTCTCACAGGCTCCCAGCACGTGACCCTTAAACATCAACAAAGCATCTGACACTGTAAAGGCATGAGAAGAACCTGAGTTTTCATGTTGGGAGCACAGCACCGCACCTGCTAGGTAAAGACTATCTCAAGGTCACAAGGTGACTCTCTGAAGGCAGAAGTCTTCCCCACGTTCCAGCAAGGTTAATTCAGTGGGAAGACAAGAAGAACCCATAGCCTAGCCTCAGAGCACAGCATTACCTCTGAATCATGTCTGTAACGGATGATAAGAAACCGTCCATACTTTTGGAGAACATCTCTGCTCCTCTCTTGAAAAAGTTAATCTGAAAGATAAAACGGCAGAATTTGGAACATTAACTAGGAAGCTAATAGACAAATTTCCTAATTACCAGATCATGTGGGGACAACCAATATGGCTGCCAGCCGTTTCTGGCTGCCAGTGTGGCAGCACCCTCCACCATCTCCATCACATTGTTTAAGAATGTCCAAGTCCGGTGACTTTATCAGTGGGAAGGAGGATCTTGGCAACCTTGCTGAGGAATAAAGAAAGGGGTACAATACCCTGGTGTGTGCAAACAGGCTCAATAATCACGATGGATAATCTCTGAAACTCACCAGCAACTTTCTCTTCTACTAGTTCTAAACCAGTTGTTACCTCTAGCACTAAGTGGAGATGAACCACGTGACAGATGCTCAGGACCAGCAGGGCACAAAGGGACATTTGATGGAGTACAGCATGAGATGGCCACCCCAATGCACACTCACTGGACCTCACACAGTCCAACTGTGGACCAGGGCTATGACGAAAGGGAAAACTGGGGCTAAAGGCCCCCAAAAGCCTCTTCAACCACATTAGAGGGGATCGGGCATCAAGCAGCTGCTCAGGACAGGCCGTGTTCCGTGCTGGACGCTTTCTCTGACCACCAGAAGTGGCACCTGTGAGATCGGCAACAGTCAGGTCCGGTGAGACTGCAGCTGCTGCGTTTGGTGCTGAAGGAAGGGCTTCATGCTTCCTGCAACTCCAGGAAGCCCAGAAGGAGCCCAACACCCGTGAAGGGCCAGACAGGGAAAGAGAAGACACTGCTGGACATTCCAGATGTCCGCAGTTGCCCAGCTGGAAACCGCGGCCTGTTTGTCTGGTGGCCTTTCCAAAATCTGCACCTCAGGTATGAATGCCGCTCTTCGTGAGCCTGGTGACAGGGACTGAACAGCTGTGAACAAGGTCGTAAAGGCAGACCGCACGTAGCGTGGGCCATTTCTCTTCATGTGCCATTTTGGCTCATCTGGAAGCAGAGCGTGGCCTGGGCAGTGGGCACAAAAACTAAAGTCTCTTCCTGAAGAGGCCAGTGGGTGTTAGCAGAGGGTTAATGTCCTTCCCTGTACTTCAATGACACCGAGACAACATGTGCAGCAATGACTGTCCTTGGATATCAGAGGGAAGTACTGCCTCCAGGCAGGATTATCCCCAGGGGCAACACACACAGGGAGGTTCTGGCTCGATGACCTTTGACTCAGATGAGCACTCTAAATCCATTTCAATCCATGAAATGTCAAACAGCCAAGCAATACTCATCAGCCAGTTTTCACCTTTTAAGTCAGCCTTCTGCATCCTTCTGGCTCAGCGTCTGTCTGGGCTTCTCTTCCTGCTTTGCAGCCCTGATTTAACTCTTTGGCTTGCTCTCCAGTTACTCTGAGCTGCACAAGATGAACAGGGGGAGCTAAAGCACTCTGCTAATAGCACATGAGAGTCTGCTGAGGACTGCTGCGATGGCCCAGAGCACTCGCCACGAGCCTCATGGCCCGAGCTTCACCTGCAGGAGCCGCATGACGGACGGAGGGGGAAAACAGGACCCTGAAGTTGTCCTGTTACTTTCCGTGTGCAGGCCATGCATGGGCATGCCCACATGAGTATGCACGTGCACACACACGTGCACACGAGCACACACACGTGTACACACACACACAAACACACACGCATGCACACACACGCACGCATGCACTTGATTTTTGGAAGACCTATTTAAATAACAGTGCTGAAGTCTGTTTTCTGAAGACCAGCAAAGCCACAGCAGAGGCAACACCTCCCTGGCAGCGGGTGTTGAAGTCTGAGTGGTCTCCACCAAATGAGCCTGCAAACAGCTGGGTGCAGTGGGCCACACCATGAGCTAACACAGGCTGGGCCCCATAAACACTGATAGGAAAGGGCTGAGGCACCAGCACATGCTTCTGAGTCACCGGACAGCCCCTGTCACTAGGAGCACCCAGTGGAGAGAACTCAGTTCTGTGAGGATTTAAAAGTTCTGTGGAGACGCTCACAGCTGAGCCCAACTCCTGGGATCCAGTTGCAGACAGGGAGGAGTGATGAGCAAAGGGGTCAAGACCAGGCTGGAGAAACCACAAGACAGCTGACCTGAACAAGGGGAAGCTCATGGACCCCAGACTGATAGCTGGGAAACAAGTATAGGATTGACCCAGACCTCCTGAATGTGGGTGTCAGTTAGGAAGACTGGGCAGTCTATGGGGCCTCTGGCAGTGGATTGGTATTTATCCCTAGTATAGGAATGGACTCTGGGAGCCCATTCCACATAGAGGGATACTCTCTCAGCCTAGACACATGGGGAGGGCCTAGGCCCTGCTCCAAATGTTATGACAGACTTTGAAGATCCCCCATGGAAGGCCTCACCCTCCCTGGGGAGCAGAAAGGGGATGGGATGGGGGTTGGTGGGGGAACAGGGGAGGAGGGGAGGGTGAGGGAACTGGGATTGACATGTAAATAAGCTTATTTCAAATTTAAATTTAAAAATTATTAAAAAATATTAATTAAAAACATGGTCTGTGGAGAAGGGGTGATCAGCCCTGTGTCTTCAATGAGTGTTCACCAGAAAATCCGATGTTCCTTCCCTGTCCTCTAACCCTATGCTCCTGCCACCCAGCAACCGATGGCCCGGCTCTGCCCTCCGAGGCCCAGGGGCTCTGTGTGTGAAGCATCTACACCTCCTCTTTTCTCCTGGGGCCAATTCACAATCATTTAAGAAGCCTGGCTAGGCAAATAGGAAAGTCCTTGCCTGTGAAGAGCATGGAGAACCTCCTGGCCACACCCTTCGGGTCCTGTGAGGTCCACTGGCCACCCAAGCTCCACAGACTGTCCAGACTGGAGCTTTTTGTCTGAGGCGGTACACACACCCTCCCTGTCCAAGCTCCTGGGCCTACAAGTGAGCAGGGATTACCGCCCCAAAGCAAGGGCTCCTGGCCAGGAAATAGGTACAGAGAGCAAAGACCATGCTTCTAACAACTCGGCCACCCATCAGGGCCAAAGTGCAGCACCTAGCTCCAAGAGAAAGGAGGGGCCAGAGCCAGCGCAGCACCCATTCTGAGGAAGCCTGGTGGCTGTGCTGAGGGCTCAAGCCCCCAGCAGGGTTTATTTTTGGATTAACAGGTGACAAAGAGGCCAGACTGCAGGCATGAGCTGACTTCAGTAAACACCCATCAACACGCAGCAACTGTATTAGGAACACAGTTGTGGTTGACTGCTTAAAGATGCCCAGACCTCCCCCCCCCCCATCCTGAGTGAAGTTGATGATGTACTGCTTTTGAAATATATGTACTTTTAAAATGCATGCAAAAGTCAGAGCCGCTCATGTATGTTTTAAATTGGTAACTGGTCTTAGAAACATTTTGTTTCCATATCATTGTCAGATCACAGATTATAAATGACCTAAGATTCTGGGTACCTTTCCCTTGTCCAACATAAGGGTTGACGGTCACTGAGGAGAAAGCAGGCAGAGCTCATGTCGGCCCCTGCCACTCATCTGTACCACAGCAGCTGGACGGCCACCCTTAAACTGGAGCATCTCTTAGGACTCAGCAGATCACTCACGAAGAGAGAGGAAGGTATACACCCTGCACAGAACACTTCAGAAAGCACTGGCACAATTTCCCCACACCCCAGGAGGGGCCGCACGGGCAGTAACTTCAGGGGCATGCCATTTGAGAATGACCCAGCCAGAGTGAGCCTGGCAGTGTAGAGAAGGAATGGAGCATGCACACCCTGTCTCCCACTCAGCCACCCAGCAGAGTGGGAGTGAGCCTGAGGCACAGGCCGTAGAAGCAGTGTGCACACACGGGGCTCTAAAACCAGCCAGTGGCCTGGGCACAAAGCTGCATCGAGGCAAGCAGGGCCAGCACTGGCTTTCTCGGGTGAGAGTCAGGCAGGCAGGCTCTTCCCTGAGGAAGACTCGGGCCATAGCATCCTGAACATACGGCCTCACGGGCCAAGCCCAGCCGGATGCTCTCATAAGGGCGGAGCCCCAGGAACTTTGCCAGGACGTTGTGCATCTGCTTCTGTGAAATTGCTTCCACCCTCCCGGGCAGTGCTTCAGTTCCTCCCACGGGGAAAGGCTCCCCTACCTGTCCGTGGGCAAACCCTATCAAGGGTTCCATCATGGCCATCCGCTTGCGGTACTGTAGCGCGTTGAGGGCACAGTAATACTGAAGGGAGGACAGGTGCTGCTTCCGGCGGGCGGATGCCACCTCCTTCCTGACTTCCGTCTTCACCTGGCGAAGGGGAAAAGGGGAACCTCAAGTTGCCCATGGGGGTCTAAGAATTCTGCAAGAGCACAGAGCTTCAGACACGTCTGGTTGGCCGTCGCAAACATTTTCATGACAGGCATAAAGGCGTGGAGAGAAGGGTCCACCTTAGCCTCACAAGAAATTCCAATGAAAATGCCAAAGTGACAGCACTTCGTTCCCCACACTACATGAGGCAAAGCCAGTACCTTTCTAGTGGCGTACCCAATGCTGCCCTTTGGGAGAATGGTACACACGTTTTGGTTCATGCAAGTCTGTAGACCCAGGAAATAATTTAGCTTAAGGAAATCATGCAGCAGAAGTAAGAACTGTACGCATTGCCTGTGGCAGCAGAGCAGGAGGCGGACAACCCCCACAGCCCCACACGGAAGCCAACCGGCACGTGACTAGCATTCACAGTGGCTCCATGTTGTGCTTAAGGTTGTGAAGAGGCCCAGACACAGGAAAGGACAGGAAGAGCTCTGTCATACAGCATCAACGCTACCAGGCTGCCGAAGTCGTGAAAGGCCTCCGAAGGGACACTCACCCTCTCGTTCTCCTTCTTCTTAGGGAGCCGGCTGTACTTTGCCATTGAAAGGTCATGCTCTAAAAACAAAAGCTATCTGAGCACCCAGGAGGGTCAAAAGGCCCCCACTGAACCCAGCATACCCCAAGCCTATGCACCCCAACTGGAAAGATGCCTACCATTGCTGGCGAGACCAAAGAGATCCTTCAAAGTGCTGACTTCTGAATAAGGGAAAGATAACATGTTAGAGCAAAAACATGGGATCGTGCGAAGCCAGAGCTCTGCCTTCCCGAGAGGATCAGGACGCACGCTCTGCCCACAGCCCCTCAGTCCTCAGCTCCCACAGGCCCTCGTGTCTGAGAGCACTCCCACTCACAACAGTGGTGCCGCTGTGGGAATATGACTTATTAGTCACTAGTGGCCACAGTGCTTACGCTAACGAGAAATGGCACACACTGTTAAACTGCACAGCCACAAGCCAGCACCAGTAACCAGGACCCCATACCATGGCAGTGCACCAGTCACTCACCAAGATGGTTTAACAATCCCCAAACCAAAAGGACAAAACAGGCCACCAAGAGAATGATGGCCCGAGGGCAAACACTGAGGAACACTGAGACAGACCCTGAAGGAGAGACAACTTCTGCCTTCCCAACACAGTCTGTCACTTTGTCAAACAACAAAAGACCGCAGCTGTGTGCTACTTCTCAGCTGTGGGCAGAGCGCCTGCTGGTCTCCTTTGCGGGGTGGTGTACTGCCTTTGCCCCGTCCCCTCGTGCATTCCCTGCTCTGCTTCTTACTTTCTATTGCAGCAGAGTTGTCATTTAACAACTTGTTAGGATCGCATGCTCTCCTCAGGTGACTTTCGCTGGGGGACAACTTAGTAAGAGGCGGCACAGGCTGTTGTGGTGGGCGCTGGTGTGATGTAATGAGGAGATGAAGGCAGGGGGACCCGGTTCAAAGCCAGCTTGTGCTACATACTTAGGGGCCTGGAGAGACTGCTCCACAGCTAAGAGCACGGGCTGCTGTGGCAGAGGCCCCAAGGTTTGGTTCCCAGCACCCACATGGCGGGACACAAGCATCTGTGACTCCTGTTCCGCGGCATCAGGTACCTTTTCCTGACCTCTGTAGACACCAGGCACACATGTATATACCAACATCCATAAATGCATAATAAAAATTAACTTAAAATTTGAAAGGCAGTAAAATGTATGCTAAGACACTGCCTAAGCAGACAGGGCCAGGTTCACATTTGGCTTGGGCCAAATACTTCAAGTTATGTCTTTGTGTAATGAGAAAATGATGATTTGATTGGGTTTTCTTAGATAAAAACTTGTTTTTTACTAACTGAACACTTTTAGTCTCCTTTCAAAAGAATGGCCATTCTAGGCAAATGTAAACTCAGGCGGTAGCCCACAGAGGCCGAGGGCTGTGGGCATGCTCAGGCTAAGGTTGTGACCTGTCCTGTCCCCACAGCAGACACACCAGGAGACAGACCCGCAGCCTAGCAGCTACATTTCCTTCGTTTTCCTTTTAGATTTTTGAGGCAAGGTCTCACGCAGCCTGGGTCGGCCTCATACTTGGTCTGTGGGAAAATGACGACCCCTGACCCTCCTGAGTGTCTCTCTTAAGCACTGGGATCACAGGGTGCACCATCAAGCCAGTTTATAACTTTGTACTTTTAAATTATGGAACGTTAGGGCTGCCAAAGTAGCATGTATGTATGTGTACCACGTACATGCCTGGAGATCCATGGAGGCCAGCAGATGGCGTTACATCTCCTGGAGCTGGAGTTACAGACAGTTGTGAGAGCCACCATGTGGGTGCTGAGAACCAAACCTGGATCCTTTGCAGAAGCAGCCAGTGCTCTTAACCAAAACCATCTCTCCAGCCTCAAGGTTATATGTTTGTTTGTTTGAGTTAAGGTTATTTTTTTAAATTAAGTGTGTGTGTGTGTGTGTGTGTGTGGTGTGTGAGTGTGGTGTGAGTGTGGTGTGAGTGTGTGTATGTGTGAGTGTGGTGTGTGTGTGGTATGGTGTATGTGTGTGTGTGTGGTGTGAGTGTGGTGTGAGTGTGGTGTGTGTGGTGTGTGTGAGTGTAGTGTGTGTGTGGTGTGAGTGTGTGGTGTGTGTGTGGTGTGAGTGTGTGGTGTGAGTGTGTGGTGTGAGTGTGTGGTGTGTGTGTGGTGTGAGTGTGTGGTGTGGTGTGAGTGTGTGGTGTGTGTGTGTGGTGTGAGTGTGTGTGTGGTGTGAGTGTGTGGTGTGAGTGTGTGTGTGTGGTGTGTGTGTGGTGTGAGTGTGTGGTGTGAGTGTGTATGTGTGTGGTGTGGTGTGAGTGTGTGGTGTGAGTGTGTGGTGTGTGTGGTGTGAGTGTGTGGTGTGAGTGTGTGGTGTGTGTGGTGTGAGTGTGTGGTGTGAGTGTGTGGTGTGTGTGGTGTGAGTGTGTGGTGTGAGTGTGTGTGTGGTGTGAGTGTGTGTGTGGTGTGAGTGTGTGGTGTGAGTGTGTGTGTTTAGTCAGTCTTCTCAACTAAACTGTGTTTTCTTTTTCTAATATGGAACATTTCACAGATTTTCACGTCTTTGCACAGGGACCATATTAATCTCATGGCTCTAATAACTGTATATAATTCTTTGCTCTTAAAGTAATAAATGAAATTAAGAACACCAGCATTAGGACATTTTGGTTCAGCTTTCTATTTATAGATAATCCTTTTCAATAATCATTGGACTACTTCTGATTTCAGATACTTCTAAAATTATTGGAAGGTTCTCTTTCAGGTTAGGGACTGAAATTCACTAAAAGGCTACCTGTGTGGGTCCCAGTCGGATCTGCTCCCTCTCCATGAGCTTCAAGGGAGTGTCCTCACAGCTGTGCCCTGAGAGCCCCTGGCTGCCCACATCAGCACCCTTGAGACTGAGAAGCACCCTCAACAGAGAAGGCCTGGTACTCTCCTAGCATTCATGGTTCCCTCTGCCCACAGTGCATGCCCTGGTACACTGTCTCCTCAGCAAATGCTTATAGTTTCCTCCAACTCCAGCTCAGACCACCTACACCAGGCCTGTGGAGTGCTTTCTCCAGGCCTCAGCCACCCCTTCCACAGCCCCACAATGAGCTGCATCCACGTCTGTCTAATTTGCCTGTGGCCTCCCTTGGATGAAACAGGAATGTGCAGAACCCAAGAAAGGTTTGTTGACTGAAACTGCTTTTAAAAAGCATTCTTGATAGGTGGTGGTGCACACCTTTAATCCCAGCACGTGGGAGGCAGAGGCGGGTGGATCTCTGTGAGTCTGAGGCCAGTCTGGTCTACAGAAAGTTCTAGCATAGCCAAGGCTACGCAGAGAAACCCTGCCTCAAAAAACCAACCCCCCCCCAAAAAAACCCCCAAAATGACAACAACAAAAACATCCCCCACCGATTCTCAACGGCCATGCATTGAAAGGAAGGGGCGCGGTAAGAATTACTGTTAACTGAATGCAGAAGGTACTGCACTGAGCCTGCTTCTTTACCTGTGAGATCCTTTTCTCGGAACTGTATAACAGGTAGGACCATAGTGTCTGCCAGCTGCTTGGCCAGCTCTGCGTGGAGACCATTGAGCTGAAAGCAAAAGGACTTGGTTGAGAAAATGACACACTTTACTACTGGCATGGTCTCACCAGGTCCCGTCAACCATGGATGGAGGGAGGAGGGAGGCCCGGAGGGCTCTGACTGTGGCACAGTGAAGCTTGCTAAAGGCGTGTCCGGCTCACAGACCTCTCTGCCTTCTGGGCAAACCCTAGCTCTGTGTTTGAGACTGGGCCACACCCTCCTAGAGACACGCAGGGCATTGGCTGGCACCAATGCAGATTGCTGGCAGGACTCTGTGGCTTGCCACCTCCCCCCCTCTCCGCCAGGCCTGTCACTCACAAGGACTGGAGCTGCCCCAGAAAAACCAGCCTGCTGGGAACTGACCTGTGCTGGCTCATGACCACACACAGCAGTAGATCCCGGGGGGCCAGAGGATGCTGCCTGCCACCAGTGTATGTGTGTGTCACCTGTACACCACGGGTTCTCACCCACCCTGCGTATCGGGGGCCATTTACAGTCCCCATTTTACCCCCCAGGCAAATAACTCTAAATCCAGATCACGAGTGAACAGCACAGCTGGGAAGTAATCACAGCTACCGGTAAAACCAATCACGGTGCTGCCCAGACCACACATCCTACCCATGAGGCACCAGTGATGGCCAGTGGAAGAGACTGTCCCTAGTGTGGGTGACCAGGGGCAAGCAACTCAAGGTCATTTTTGTGGTCAGTAACTGGCAAGGCCGCCTTCAACAGTGGCAGCGGTCATCTGTGTCTCCCACAAACGAGCTCGTCTCCTCCAGGCTTGGCCCTCAGGGGCCGTGGTTGAAAGGTCTAAGGTCAGCTCTCTGCCAGCTAAGGGAACACAATTAGTGTCTGCTTATCTTAGCCCAGCAGGAGTGTGGGGACTTTCTTCTAGTAAGAGCACAAGAAATGCCCCTGGGGGTAGAGGGTTGAGGTTTTTTCCTAGAATGACTGCAGTAAGGAAATTTAATGTTTTTCATCAACAGCCAATTGGGCATCAGCAAGCACTCCTCCTATGCCCACGGCTCCGGGCTCGACAGACATTAAGCAAGCAGGGAAATGGCCTCTTGTGTCAGGGTGACACAGCTCCTGCCTGATCGGTTTCTTCCAAGGGATGGGAATTCATGATGGGGCATGAGAGACGCACAGGTCAATGATTTCTGACCCCAGTAGTTTTGCTGAGGACAGGGGAAAAAAAGGACATGGCCTGGTTCCCGTCCTGTGCTCGCAGACTCTGACAGGAAATGGACATGCCCACTGTGAGGGAAGGACGGAACTCAAGAGGACATTTCTGAACGACTCACAAGAAAGAGCTCATTCCAGAACATTCTATCACACACATCTCTCCTGTCTGCTCAGTTGTGCTTTTCCAGGGTCAGCTGGGCCACCTTTAAAATTCACCTGGTTCTGGTACAGACGGGGGAAACTATCTCAAAAGCTATTCCCTTCTCTAGACTAAGCCCATTTGGCAGGGCTCAGTCTCAACATCAGGAAGCTGTGTAAACTCTGACCCTCGACACCCCCGGGGTTCAGTCCCACAGAGCTCCCCAGAAGAGCATGCTACAGCAGCTGACAGCCTGCCTCACCTCCTTACTGACCCCCTTCTACTCGCAGACATACGGGATTTCGGCGGAAATATCCTACAGCCTCCCCGCGTTATTAGTCGAAAAGAGTAACTGTGAATTGAGTAAATAAAAAAAATTCTTCATGCCTTTCGAAAACCACTTTGCTGCTCAATAATTACATTTTTAATAGATTCTGCATCCATTTCAGTATATATTGAATTTTATACTTATTCACTTGTGTGTGAACATGCCACAGCAGACCTGTGAATTCTCTCTCTCTCTCTCTCTCTCTCTGTGTGTGTGTGTGTGTGTGTGTGTAACAGCAGGCAATGGAGTCCGAGGACAATCTGAAGAGTCCAGTTTCTCCTTCTATCACGTGGGTGGGCCCAGGGACTGAGCTAATCACTACACTTGGCAGCAAATGCCCTCACCCACTGAGGCATGTCATTGGTCTGCTGACATATTTTAAAGAGACCCCAAAGTGTGATTACTAACCCTGACTGTCAATCTGATAGGTCTGTAATCACTGTGGATGTCTGCGATGAAGTTTCCAGGTTGGTTTAACTGCTGAGCCCAGTAAAGTGGTGTACCCAGAGAGGGAGAAAGCTCTGTGCCACACCCTGCCGACGAGTCACTGCACCTGGCTGGTCACTGTGTCCTTCATAACAGCTCCTCATATAACTGGTGACCACAGTGAGTCCCTGAGTGTGAACCACTCTAGTGTGTACAAGACCTGTGGTGTCAGAGGACAACTCTCCTATCAGCCACCAGATGACCAAACCCCTGTATCAGAAGCACCACAAGCCTGGCCCAGTTCTCAATGGACGTCAGGATCCAGAACCACAGCGGCTCCGTGCCTGGCCACGGCACGTGCATCCTGCTTACTCTGTCCTGTTTCCAGTGACAACCACTCTGCAGACTCTGACAGTTGGGGCTTATACATCCCAGGGTCACAGACGATCTCTTGGTACCAGCAGTACTGGATCTCGGAGGGCTTTGGAAAACAGTAGGCAGGTATCATACCATGAGCTACATCCCCAGCCTACCTACCGTTCTTAGAACTAGAATTTATGTAATTTCCTATAACAGTGGTTGCTAAGAAAAAGCATATGAAATCAGAGGCCGCATCCACCTAGAACACAGGGTGGGAACATGTGGAAACATGATCTCTGTGAGTGTAACCAGGGATCTTAAAATCCAAGTACCTGGATTTTCCAGGTGGCCCGAGCTCAGTGACAGTTGTCTTTGTGAGAAAAGATACAGACCAAAGAACACATAGGCGGCAGGAAAGCCACATGAAGGCACAGTCAGACCTGAGGGATGCTGCCATAAGCCAGGGCCCCCAGAAGCTACCAAGAGGAGGCTAGAATTCCACCTAGGCCCCACAGCAGTGTGGTCTTACAGATAACTAGAGCTAGTCTTCTGTCTTCCAGAACACCAAGAGAATGAATCCCTGTTATTTGAAGCTATGTAGCCGTGGAAACATATCGGGGCAGCCAGGGAACCAGGATGCTGAATGCTCAGAGGTCCTTGTGGTCTGTTCTCCTCCAAAAGGCAAGTGCCATGCCAATACCACCCCCATTGTGGAACCTCAGAAATCTGAGGAGGTATTCTAAAATGCGGGGGGGGGGGGGTTGGAGGGGGGCAAAGAGGGAGGAAAGAGAGTTCATGAAGCAAAAATATCCCATGCCTTACCTCATCCAACACTTTGGAAAAATAATGCAGTGTAGAAATTACTTCTTCGTCACCTTTGCCCAGAGCAAAATTCTAGGACAGACAGAAGGTAAAAGCCAGATGTTAAACGAATGCAGGGATACTCTAGAAACTCACCCACTCCCCTTCTTGTCCAGGGCACACCCATCAGAGGGTCCCTCACCCGTCTGAGAGGTGTACCCATGGCCTCCCTGGCCACACCTTTCTGTCTGAGCAGGATGGATCTAGGGCTCTGCCCTGATGGCTGGCACTGAGTAGCCTGGCCTTTCTGGACACTGGGAACACTCACGGGTAGCTGATTAGCTCAAGGGACCTCACAGAGGCTTTGGGATGGTCCCACTTACATTTTATCAGTGAGAAAAGATAAAAGAGAGAGAGGAGGAAGGCTGCATGGCTGCACAGAGGTCACAGGGACCCTTCCGAGGGTGCCTTTAAAGGGCCGCCTGGGAGCCTGAGCACTACACAGCACCAGCCAGTTACCTGTTTTTCATATGCCAGTAGCTGCTTCGAAAGTTGCTGAGTGGCCAGGCACATTTCATTCTGTAGGGGAGAGAGAAGCAAAGCACATCAGTTTACAGGTGTGTGTCATCACTGAAACACACCACCTCGGAGCAGCCTTGACAAGGAATGTGTGTGCCGGGGAAGTGATTGACTTCTTTCTAGACAAGGTCTCACTATGTAGCCAGGCTGCCCTGGAACTCACCAGCCGCTTCCTCAGCCTACTGGGATTATAGGTTTGGACCACCACAAACCTGGTCTAGGCATATTTAGAGGGCAACACTAAGGTTCTAAAGCTTGCTTTAGAACGAATGAGGCCCTTAACACACTGCTCCTTCTGGTTATTCAGTCAGTAAACAAGGGAGTGAGCAGACTCCGTCCCAGTCCTCATGGATGCACGAGAGGATCATCATGTGCATGATGAAAGCCACAGGAGAGACCCTGGGTGCACCAGGAGGGGCCAGGACCTCGCCGGAGAGCCAGGGAGCCGGCCAGGAGCAGCAGCTTTCCAGAAGAGACCCCGGCAGCGGGAGACCCGGGCGGTGAGGAGACCCACCACAGAGAGAGAGAGACCCAGCATGGGAGAGAGACTCAGCATGGAGAGACTCGGCAGTGGGGAGCGGCTCTCTATGCCTATGGATGACAGCTGGAGGGAGGGCTGACAGGCAGGCAGCCACATGCAGACTGAGAGCCTGGCCCTGGGACCTGGTCCCGATGATGTGACAGAAACATGGCATGCCCAGGTCCCAGAAGAGCAGGAGAAAGCTCCACTTCGGGAGCTCGATTGCCCTGCAGGGCTCTTATGCTGGCTCAGTCCCCGCCCTGTCATCCTCTACCCTGGGGCGCTAGCAGCTGACCTGCCATGCCCTCCCACTGCCAGCGCAGCAGACCTAGGGTGTGAGGCGCGCTATGGTCAAGCTGCTCTTCGGTTATTGCTAAGATGGTGCCAGAGCAGTGCATCCCAAGGTGACTCTCACGGCCTTGGCCTCGACTCATTCCTTCTCTGGGCCTGCTGTTCTCTCAAGGACAAGTCCTACACTCAAGGGGACCTTTATTTATTTATCTATTTATCTAAGCTTTTACATGGGTATCCTCTGCCTGACCCATCAGAGACAACCCCATTTTCTGGGACCTTCTCAACAGAACAGGCTACACTGTTCCCGAGCTACCTCCATCTGCCCTGTGGAGCAGGCAAGGCTCGAACATGGACCTCTCCCTCTTTCCTGGAATACAGGCACACGCAAGGCCCTGGCTTCAGCAGCCTTACCCTGCCCTCTGTGTGCTACTGCTTTGGGACTGACCACAGGTGGCAGTCACAGGGCCAAGCAAGCGGATGGACAAACACACGCGACTCCTGTGTGTTTAGGCAGGGGCGGGCAACAGTTCTTGGTACACAGCAGACACCCAACACGCTTGATGAATCCCTGCATGAAAAGGTCAAAAGACTCATCTCCATTCCACGTCCAAAACAATTCCTGCATTCAACCTTGAGCAAAAATCCCTGACGTATAGGGCTACGTCACAAAAGGCCAGAGGAAGACGTGGCTGACCCACCATCTACGCCACTGAAGCTCTGAAGACACAGTCTCATCCATGGGTTACACAAAACGTTCCTGGCTTTGAGTAAGATGGGACTGTCTGAGGTTGGCATCTGCCTGAGGCTGTCCTGCGGGTTGAGATTCGCACTCTCAAGAATCATTAAACAGCAGCAGACACTAACAAGGGCACTTAGAGCATACCAGAAACTGTACTGTGTGTGTTATCTCGTTAATCTCAGTAACCCTGCAATGCAGTTTTAAACATGCTGAGCGGACAGCACTCATATGCTAAGGATGCAGCTCCACAGGACCTTAGGGAGGGGGGGACACAGCACCCAGAGCACAGCAGCCACCCGCCACAGTGACTGCGGACAAGGAGCCACTACTTTCCATCTGTTGGGTGCATCGGGCAGTAGAGTTACTGCTCCTCCCATGCGGGCAACTGGGGAGCAACTCAGGAAGGCACCTCACCCATCCATAATCCCGACTGAAGCACTGTGCCAGCATCGGCTAATGAACCTACACCCTGGGAGCCAAGGACACCTGTAAAAACAGGGGCTGGAGCCAGTATTCAGCCAATATGCAAGTGGCAGGTCCTCTTGTTAGGGACACAAAGCTACACTCTCCTGGGACCTGGACAGCAAGAGCGGTGGCCCCGCATTTAGGTTCTAATGGAGTTCTGAGAGTAGCATCATGGTGTGTGCGTGTGCGTGTGTGCATGTTTCTGTGGTGTTCTGGAGCCCAAGGCCTCAAGTGTTAGGCAAGACTCTACCTCTGAGCTCCACACTTGACATTTGACATCCATTGTCCTGCAACAGCTCTTGGGCCACTGTCTCCTTCATAGCCATCCTTAAAACACACTGGGGCTAGGGGTGTGGCTCAGTGGCAGAGTGCATGTTTAGCATGCAGGAGGACTTGAGTTTGATACCCAGCATAAGAAAAAAAAAAACCCAAAAAACAAAAAAACAAGCTGACAAAGGGTTTGCAGACAGCTCCTCCCACGCCAAAGAACCTCTTGTCCTGTTGCCAAGGCAGAGCCAAGGGCTAGCAAGGCTACCGACATCTGAGCTTCTGGCAAGGAATGCCTACCTGACGGTGCCAGAGCGGCTTACTGCCCACAGCGCCACCCGAAACCATGGTGAGGCTGAGGCTGAGGTGGAGGGAAAGCATGCGGGGTCGGCACGGACAGCCATGTGTTTAGAGGTCTGCTCCCAGTGGCACAGAGGTGGCCTTAAGTCAAGACTCTGAGAGCGGCACTTACCCTAGAACTCAAGACTCACGGTAGGAGCCCCAGATGGACGTGCAAGAGAAGGTGGCTGACAGACTGCCTGGGGAAGCATGGGACCACGCACAGGAGGTCTGTGACACTTGTGTGTGTCTAACAGTACGAGAACCCTGTCTGCCTCCTACAGGCTCCTCCCTCTGCTGCCACAAGGTCACACCGTGGATACCTACTATTCTCATTGCCTCTCAGCAGTACCGTAACTGGTTCCTCTCTCTCTCTCTCTCTCTCTCTCTCTCTCTCTCTCTCCCTCTGTGTGTGTGTGTGTGTGTGTGTGTGTGCACGTGTGCATGTGCGTGTGTGTGCGCGCACGCGCGCGCGGGCATACACAAGTCAGACAAAGGACAACTTTTGAGATCAGCTCTCTCCTCTCACTGCCTGCGTCCGGGGACTGAATTCAGGTCCTCAGGCTTGGTGGCAGGCACCTTTCCCTGCTAAGCCATCTCTCCTGACCAATAACTTCCCAGTGTTTAAATAACTTCCCTCCCCTTCCTTCTCATCTTTGCTTGAGCTTGAGTAGATTATACTGTTTCCCCACAGCCGAAACAGGCTTTTAGGGTCTCGAGTTTTCAGATCTGCTTGGGGTGCTTCAGAGCTTGGTGTGGGGGAGAACAACTTTGCTCCTGGCTGGCCAGAGCTTCGTGGTAAGACCCCGTCTCAATGCACAGCAAAAGCCCCAAACAAAAGTGAACAGCTGGGGAGATGTAACTGGATTTCCCTGCTCTCCTGGGGGAAGACACAAGCTTTCTTTAACAGGGTTGTCACTGGGAAGAGAAATTCACCAGGGGCTGGACAGATAGGCAGGTTAGGAGTTAAGAGCATGAGCTGCTCCTGCAGAGAACTAGAGTTTGATTCCCAATACCCTCGCCACGTGGCTCTCAACCTCTTATAACTCCAGCTCCAGGGGATTCAACACCCTCTTCTGGTTTCCAGCGACACCCACACGTATGTGTACACACACACACACACACACACACACACACACACAAACATTTTTTTAAAACCGTCATCTAATTTAGTAAAACACTGCCCTAGGCCAAAGGCACCAACCAGAGAGGCTCATCTTCTGCTAGAGGAAAAAGGTGGGTACTAAGAACCACCAGTTTCATTAACCCTGCCAGCAACAGACAGCCCTCCTGGCCACACTCGGAGCCCCCATCTGACAGCACAGAAGATGATCTAAACAACTCTCCTCTAAGCCTGAGCGAGTCCAATGTGAAAGAAAAAAAAATAAAACAACTCTAAACCTATTTAGGAAACAAACAATTGTCAGATACTTGGATTTAGAGCAGGTATCATATCAAATTTATTGAATGCAAAATCTGTGGTAATGTAAGTAACTGCATATGTATCTCTATGTTCCTGTTCGGGCACCTCAGGCATTTGAACTTACTGGTCCAGTATTCTGAAAAGCAGCAGAGAGTCCTAAACAACCTTCTTTTCCTCTGTTTGTAATGAAGGGCGCTCACCTTCCTCGGAGCCATGATGGAGGCTCGCTTAGCATGGGCAATGGCTCTTCTGCCAGCAAAGAGAAGAAATCAGGCCACACAGTCCCAAGCATGCTCATTCTACAGGTTAGTCCAGAAGAAATCTCAACATCACCCCAAAACAGCCAAGTGAGGGGTTCTGCTCTCAGAACTCTCTACTTTTCTTTTTTAAAAAATGTGATTGTCACTTTATTGTCCTTTGTGTGAATACAGCAACAGTAGTTTAGCATTACTAAGTACCACATGTACATACATGTGATTGTATTTATACACAGTGTGTAACTAAATTAGATAATTTGTATCCTAACCTTCAAAGAAGGCATTCTGTTCTACTGGGTAAACAAGAGATGATTTAAAATAAAATTAAAAACAAAACAAAAACAAAACACCTAATGATGTAATTATCAAGCTATTAGGACCTGAATAGAAAACTCTACAAATTCTCATTTGCACCTTCAATATTTTGTCAAATGCCTCTGCTTCTGCCAGCTAGAAGCCATATCTAATTGTAGGACTAGGGTATAAACTGTACATTTATCAATGTCTAGCACATAATTTATATTTTATGATGTTAGAAAGAGGACATTGTTTATAAATCCAATATATGATAGCCATTTCTCTATGTTAGATATATAGTCTTTCTTTCATTCCTGAGGTCATACTTAATGTCATCTAAAGATCCCGGCCTTTCTCTAAATGAGTCCGTGTTCACATAATATTCAGAAGTATTTCTACCCAGGGATCAGCTCTTGTCCCAATTCCCAGTCAAAACTTCTAGCTTTCTATTCTGAGACATCAATTTTAATTTCATCTTCTCTACCCTTTCTTGCTCTTCCTCCTTCTAAACTAAGTCCAGGCAGGGGATGCTCACTGGGGCAGAATCTGAAGTGTACCAAGCAGGCTGAAAACGATACCTGTGTCTCACCAGCCACATGAAATCACTTTTAAAACATAACAGCGACAGCCAGGTGGTGGTGCACACCTTTAATCCCAGCACTCGGGAGGCAGAGGCAGGTGGATCTCAGTGAGTCTGAGGCCTGCCTCGTCTGCAGAGAAACTTCTAGGACAGCCAGGACTACACAGAGAAACCCTGCGGGGTGGGGTGGGGAGTTGGCGGGAGGGAACCACACACAACTTAATAGTGAAAAACTATGTCTTGCCAAAAATATCAAACTCTAATATAATTCAATATTTTAAGTGTAAAATATGTAAGGAATAGCATGAAATAAAACCAAGAAAACCAGAAGCAGGGGGGTGGCCAGAGTGAAAATGTAGAAAAGTATTACTAGCTTAAAATATACCCATATCAAGGCTAGCAAAACACATCTCAGGCCTTCCAACAAACCTGAAAAGCCATGGCCCCGCCTCGGCCAATCTGGATGCCGCTGGTGGCCAGCTGCCTGCAGAGAGTGTTTCCGCAGCTCTGCAGCAGAAGCCAGAGGGAGGAGGGGACTGGCCGGTGGACAGCCCACATGACGGTCATGTGCTGTGAGTTAAAAGCAGGTTCCAGCCTCTCGGTATGCAAGACCTACTTAATTTTGGCACAGTGTAGTTTTCTGGCTCAGGAGAAAAAAAAAAATGCGTAAGGAAGTGTTTGGACTCTCCAGCAAACGGTTGTAACAGCGTGGAGAGGCAGGGCAGAGACTCCTAGAGGAAGACATGTGTAGAGCCATTTACGCCTTGGAGCTTGAAAGCCTTAAACAAGTGACAGGGCCATTTAATGGCAGTACTCAAAGTTACCAACTAGTAAGCAAGAAACCACAGATAAGTACGGCCATTTTTTTTCCTATTATACTAAATTTGGAATAGTCGGAGAAAAATACAAAAACATTCAATATAAGTAATCAAGTAAAAACGTAGGAAAGCCCTCATATTCCCAAGCTCTGAAGGGCTCGTCAAATGAGCAGGGGCAATGGCAAACACTGCACTGCTCTCCTGAACACTGAACCAGCTCTGCAGCCTGGAACAGGCTCAGTAGCAGAACACCTGACTAGCACGCCTCGGGGCCCTCGGGGCCCAGGTTCAATTCCTAGCACCACAACAAACATTTTATTTATTTTTGAGACAGTGCAGTGCCTCACTACGTAGCCCTGGCTGGCCTCAGACTCTGAGGCCCATATAAAGGTGTGTGCCACTACCAAACACACTTAAAAAAAGAAAGTTTTTATTTTATGTGCAATGGTGTTGTGCCTGCATCTATGTCTGTGTGGGGTTGTTGGATCTCCTAGATTTGGAGTTACAGACAGTTTTGCGCCACCATGTGAGTGCTGGGACTTGAATCTGGGTCCTCTGGAAGAGCAGTTGATGCTCTTAACTACTGAGACATCTCTCCAGTTCCCCAAACACATTATTTGCTAAGTTAGTTCTGACTGATACCACAGTTTGTAAGTCTCTATCTCTAGCCCTGAACACTGGCTCTGAACTTTCAATAAGATTCTTCCCTTACTTCAGGGCTCCACGGCCCCTGAGAACTAGTACTTCAAGACAGACCTGTGAGCTGGCTGTGGTGCCGTGTGTCTGTAACTTAGAGCCTGGAAGGCAGAGGCAGAGGACTGTGGGATAAGGTTATCTTCAGCTACACTGAATTCCAGGACAGCCCAGGCCACAGAAGACTCTGCCTCAGATAATCAAAAAGAGGCCGGTGGCATACGCCTCTAATCCCAGTACTCCGGAGGTGGCTGGATCTCTGCAAGTTCGAGGACAGCCTGGTCTACAGAGTGAGTTCAAGGACAGCCAGGGCTACACAGAGGTACCTGATCTAAAAAAAAAAAAAAAAAAAAAAAACCAGAAAGAAAGAAAAACCCCATGTGTCTCTCTGCCTCTTCCTGCGTCGTCCCAGCTGTGGACAAAGTCAAAGGGCTGGACAACAGCTCTCTCCTCCCTTCCCCCTCTCTCTCCACTATGGCTCCTTTATAACGGACACAGGGGAGTCGTACACATTCATAGGTAACAGTGTGACACCAGTACGGAGTGCGGTGTGCCATCATCAAACAGACAAATGACAACTACTGCACTCACCCTCCTTTTGGAGGCCTACTTGTTAGTAGCTGTGCCTCAAAGGACCACGGAGGTTAGTTACCAGCTCATGGCGTAACAGGGAGGTGGCAGCACCTTCCACAAGTGGGGCCTAGTGGAAGAAGTTAGGTCCTTGGAGTGTGCCCTTAATGGGACAGTGTTCTTCCCATCTACTCTGGCCACCATCAGGTACGTGACTTTCTCCACCAGGCTCTCCTACATCACCACGATGTCCTTACTCAGCACAGGCCCAAAGCAGCAAGACCGAGTGGTCTCGTCCTGAAACTGCAAGGTTGAGCCAAGTATGGCAGCTCACCTTGTAAGCCCATTTTCTTGGGTGCTTCGTCATGCTCACAGAAAGCCAACTTAACAAACCAGCACAATGCCTCCTCCCAGGCCTTCACGAAGTCAACAGTAATTGCGTCTCCTGACCCAATGTGCGCTCTCTAAAGGCAAAGACTAGAGCTTTTTCTCATGGTGAATAGTGACTATATGTAATTATGTTTTTGGATTATGCTTTATTGCTTTGGGTGTGTGTATGTATATTTATGCGTGGATGTGCATGCCACGGTACATGTGTGTGGGGCCAGAGAACAACCTGTAGACGTCTTGTTCTCCTTCTATCATGTCAGTTCTGGGGATGGAACCTGGGCTGTCTTGCTTGGTGGCGGGCACCTCCACCCTTTGAACCATCTTGCGGGCCTCGCTCTGCAATTCTTACATTACGAGCTATACACTGCTGCCCGCAGTATTTGTATCGTTCATATCATCAATGAGGACTTGAGCACAACGAGAGTTAAGTCAGCGAGGATCGATGGAAACTACTGTCACTGATATTTTGATGTGTAAATTCTGTATGTAAGGGACTCACATCTTCCTTAGAAAGTGACATGCGTGGCAGTTCTTGTTTATAAAGAGCTTTGCTTTTGCTACTCAGCAGTTTATTTTGCATGGGTTTGCAAGCCAAGATATTTGTTCCTCAAACTAAGAGGCATCCCATCTTCAGAGAAAAGCCCTTGAAAAACCATTTCTACCCTCCCACACCAACATCCACGACTGGCCAATAATGGGAAAAACAAAGGTGTTGAGACCTGAGCCTACTCACTCATTTGCAATGGGGAGACGAGACTCCAACGTTTCCTCTGGGGCTGAATTAAAAGAAATCCAAGATATATATATATATATATATATATATATATGGGTTTTCTCCTGGTGCCATTACAGGGAGGTCCTGATGGGAGATGTCATTCTGTATGTGTTTCTCATACTGGTTAATAATAAAGCACTGTTGGCCAATAGGAAAGGAAGATAGGAGGGACTAGGAGACAAGGAGAAAATAGGAAGTAGTAAGGAAGAGTCAAGATGGAGAGCCCAAAGAGAGCAGTATGCAGCAGCCGGCTCCGGGTAAGAAGACCACGTGGAAATACATAGATTAACACAAATGGGTTAATACTTAAGACAGAGCTAGCCGATAAGAAAGTAGTAACTGGCCAACAGTATAATATCAAATACAGAGTCTCAGTGTATTATTTGGGGCTGGCTGGGTGGCAGAACAAGACCGGGCAGTGGGTGGAAAAACCATACTCGTTACAAATGGCGAGAGCGCCTTACTTGGCCCCCTCCGACCTCCTTCCACAGGTCACTTCTGCCCATGGCTCCACCCCCCAATGGGTGTGGTCAGTGCTACAGAAGGACTATCTCACTACAAGGTCCCAGCTCTGTCTCCAACAAGGGAAACAGACTATCTATCCTTGGTTTTCTGAGGTGAAGACAAGTAAGAAAAACAACTCTGGCATGTGTGCATGTCCATGATGAGGGTTTATATACATGCCTGTGAACATGTACGTGTCCTCTCTTAGACTCCATCTACCTTCCTGAGACAGTCTCTCACTTGGGGCCCACCCTTGAGGCTCGGCTGGCCAGCCAATGTGCCCTAGGGGTCTGCCTATTGGTGCCCACCGATTATTCAGGCCTTCACTAAACTATGTTCTCAGCCTCTGGACATATTTCAAATTTTTAAGTGAGATTTTCCAGACTCGACTCTTCGTCCTTCGAGAGAAGGGGCGGGTGTCATACCTGTGCTCCATAGACACGCTGCATGGCCTGCAGCAGCTGGTTGGTGTAGTCTGTGAGCGTGCCCGCATCTTCTTCAAATACACTCAGCAAGGAGCGAGTCTGCAGACAGAGAAGAAAGTGTCAGTCTCAGTGACAGCTATGAGGGATAGGCATTCAGCAGGGAGCCACCTGGACCCGGAAGGGAAATGTCTGGTGACCTGACCACTACGGTGCAGGAACAGGCAGATGGCACCCCGGCAGGACCAGAGAAGAAAGCCCACTGCTACAGGCCTGGGCTTGTGGTCCAGGGTACACAACCTTCCAGCACCTGAGGCGGGGAGCCTCACTCCCAGCGCTACGGGAGAGGAACCATGGAGGACAGTTACATGTGCTGGCCTCAGTGTCCACCTCTGCACAAGTCCACTCAGTGACCAGGGTCAGAAAGGACAGCCTCTCCTTCCAGTGCACGCAGGGAACACGACCCACAGCACTGCTCACAGGGGCTGGCCGCCTTAGTCGCTCAGCCTCCACAAGCTACTTGGGCGTCTGCAGTCAGTCAGGGTGTCCCGCAGACCGCCGTCGATTCCTCTTAAGACACCACACGGTCAAATCTGGGGGTGGGGTAGGGGTGCGGGAGAGGGTAGAACCTTTAAACTCACGGGCGGAATCTCAAATGTCCCGGCCCACCAGTAGAAGCTCTTGGCATACAACAGCAGCCATTACACTGGCCCCTTCTCTCAGAAGAACTCAGTGGCTCCTGCCGTTTTCACATGTACTGGGTGGTGTGTGAACAAGGGTCAAGGCATCACATAACAGAGATCTATTCACATATGTGAATTCACAACAAGGCTCCGTAACCGGCAGGACAAAGGGGACACAGGAAGCTGTTAAGGAGGTCATACACAGAGCTTTGCAGACCAGTTACGCTGACATTTTCTTGCAATGGATTTCAATTCCTTCCTTTCCTAACTGACCTAAAGCTAAAATAAGGTTAGAATCGGTCTTTGTGACCACTATGATCTGCCACCTCTGGGACCTCACCGCTGCTAGGCCACTAGGGACTAGGGTGGGATCTGGAATTGGGATCTCCACTTCTCCCGCCAGGCCTACCCTTGACTTTGCTCCACAAACTGGGAGCTTCGCAGCAGTACGCTTATCTTCCTTTGCCCTGGGTCTCCAGAGCCGAAAGCAGGCGCCTGGGTGCTCCGTTACCGAAAGAAACACAGGCGATGAACCAGAAATGGAAGACAGCTCTCTCTGAGGACAGATGCTCACACAGCACGGACCTTTCATGCCAGAGTTCCCCGAACGTCCTAAAGTTCAAACCCGGAGCAGGAAATGCACCGATTCCAGGGTGTAAACAAAGGCTGCAGCTAATGACACACCGGTAATAGAATGTACACATAGATTTTTTTTTTTATTCTGTTGGTAAATAAACATCACTGCTATGACCCACCAGATGTCATAGTCCACTAATGGATGACAATTAGTAGGTAAAAAAAAGACAATTATAAATTCTTTATGGCCTCTCTTGGAAGTATGATGTTAAAACGGTGACCTGTGTTGAGCACGCGTTCGTCCCCCTGCTCTTAGCCAGCGCGTGCTGGAACACCATCCGAGGACCGAGGGCTACTGTGAGGAAAGCGACTGGAAGATGAGTGAGGGCTGAGCCCGCTGGGTTGCCTCAAAGGAGCTGTGGTGTGAGGGGTGACGGTTATTATGGAGGCAACGCTCTCTGGTGCTCATAGCTGGTCTCGGTGCTGTAAAAGGTGGTTTCACCTCAACACCACGGCAGCTTGCTTATCTGAGCGTTCCATCCAACAGTACCCACTGCTGTAGGGTCCCAGCAAAGCCTACAAAGATGCGGAGACCTTCCTTATTAGGAATGGCATGCCTGGGGACACAAGAAGTGATTCACCTGGACGGCGGAGATTTTAATTTTTAAAAGCGATTACTTGTTCCTTTAGCTGAATCCTAATTTTCTCTCTTAATACTCTGAGGAACAAAATAAAGACGAGGGATGGTTAAAAAGAGAAGCTTCCACAAAGACGGCAGGAAGAACTGGAGTGAAACTCCTTACATCAGACACTGATCGGCACGGAACACCTGACACTTAATCTAAGGTGACAACATCATAATCAGATACCGTGGTTACATTGAGCTCACTTTATGGGACTCAGGGCAGCTAAGAAGTATGTTCAGCCTCTGTCCTAGCTTCCTTTCTGCTGCGTATAAGCTACAGTCCACACTGAGGGGAGCCAGGGCGGGCGCTCCAGCAGAAACCATGGAGGAGCACTTACTGCTTACGGGTGGCTCATGCTATATAGTTTGCTAATACAGCCCAGGGTGTCCCGCCCTCAGAATGCGCCGCACCCGCCTACATCAATTCATAGTCAAGACAAGTCTCCCAAGACCAACCTGAAGAAGACAATTAGCTGACTCTAGCTGTGACACACTGACAATTAAGGGTAACTAGGATGACCTCCCAGAGTTGGGAGGAGGACCAGCAGAGATGTAAATCGGGTCCATCGCAAGCACCAGCTGTCAGCAGCATCAACAGTCTCATTAGTGGGCGCGCTCTCTCGGGCCAGCCCGAGACACGGGCGACCTGGAGCTGGATTCTCTTTGATCATCCCTCTTTCTTTGTTTGGTGTTTCGAGATCAGGTTTCCCTGTGTAGCCTTGGTTGTCCTGGAACTCACTCTGTAGAGCAGGCTGTCCTCAAACTCAGAGATCCACCTGCCTCTGCCTTCCGGGTGCTGGGATTAAAGGTGTGCACCATTGCCTAGCTTCTAGCTCTCACCTATGGTAACTGTCAGAGAACTGCACCATGTTATCTTGCCTTGTTTTAACCATTTGGGCACTCGCACTAGATAGTGACCACGGCTGGTAAAGAACGCCCAGCTACCAAGGGACTGCTTTGCTACACACCATCGCCAGCACCCACGGTGCTCAGTGTGTGGGTGGGTGGAGAGCGAACGCCCTCACACAGAATGAATGGGTCAGGAAAGGCATGCCACATGCTCAGAGTCCCCCAGGAAGGTCCAGCACGATGTGAACTGTGTGTGCACACAACAGCAGTCACTGTGGTACATGGGCACATGCGCACTTGACACATGCTACCCACTCTTCAGAAAAGCCCAACTGGGGAGCTACCTTCATTTTCATTTTATGCGAAAGCTCAGAGGCTGAGTCAAAGCCCCTGGGATCAGGGTTTAAAGCCATGCTTTTTTATTCACCCACATTCTAGGGAGTACCTGCAGCCAGCCAAACAAGACCCAGCACTCTGTGGGCCTGGCCACAGCTCTGTGGCATCACTTTACCTTAGAGTAAACATCCGGGTGTTACCTAATCAAACGGCCCAGACATTCTCAATAGCACACAATTGTGTCAAGTGTTCAATTTCAATAGCATTTAGATTTTGTTTCTTTAAAATAAAAAAAGATTTTATCCCCCTTGTTTGGTGTAGTGGGGGGCGGGGGCATCTTAACAGAACCAAGTCTACTGAATGGAAAAATGTGTAGAGCTCTGGGACAAACTCCGTCCACAATGAAGCCACACAAAACTGGGTGTGTCTGGAAGCATCTCCCCGAGATAAAGGAAGGCCTGATTGCCAGGGAGGACTGTTCCCAGCTAGGCCACGGCATGATCTCAGAATCAAGTCTTTCATTTCTCTGTTTTCGTTATGCCAACTGCCAAAGAAACAAAGCACAAAAGACAACACCAAAGAACAAAGCAGAGCTTCATCCCCACCTTACTGGGAAATCCTACAGCACACAGGACGAGAGCCCACCCCTCTAAAGGATGCAGGATAATCCTACAGCATAGCTCACCCCTCTAAAGGATGAAGGGAAATCCAACAGCATACAGGAGGAGAGCCCATCCCTCTAAAGGACACAGGGTAATCCTACAGCACACAGGACGAGAGCCCACCCCTCTAAAGGATGCAGGATAATCCTACAGCACACAGGACGGGAGCCCACCCCTCTAAAGGATGCAGGATAATCCTACAGCACACAGGAGGAGAGCCCCCCCCAAAGTATGCAGGATGTGCCGCTGGGGCTCTGGCCTGTGCCTCGGTCCCTATCTATTACAGTAGGACTCACACTGTCCTGGAACAGCCGCTTATCTGCCCCAGGAACAGACCGTGAGCCAGTCAAGGACAGGTATGCCTATCTAGTTGATGGTCATGTTTCCAGTTGCTAACAGAGCCCAGTTAGCAGGGCAGAGGCTCACAAACAAGTGATGGGGACACATCTCTTCACCCTCTAAATACTAACACACCAGAGATCAGCAGAAAGAACACATACACTAATAGTAGTTTTGCAATGCAAGGTGCAATCCTGCTTGCTGAAGAGGAGGAAACGAATAGTTGTGTCTCAGGCTGGTCAACTTCTATTCAGCACTTCTTGGGGCAATCAAGTTCAAACACAGAAGCCTTTGTGTTCATTTAGTAAGTCCTGTGTAGCCAGGTTACTCAAGCAATCTTCATAACTCTTCCTCCTCCGACAAGAAGAAACAAACAGCTCCTGGGGGTGTAGTATCTTTCTTTTTCTCCCTGTGAACCAATATTTTGCACCATAGGAAAGGCAGCTGCTAGGAAACAGGGCTAACTTCAACAGTCCGCCAAGGCTGAGGAGGTAGCTCAGTGGCAGGGCCCTTGTCTAGCTAGCACTGTAAGGCTTGGCTTCACTGCCCTGCACCATAAAAGCAAAACCCTTTATTCCTGCATTTCTTTAGGGTACACACATGACCTCTCTGCCCCTCCTCCATCTTACTAAATGACCTGTCTCAAAAGATTGTTGGAAAGAGAGAGTTCAGGAATAAAATGCATTTAGAGTAGCACTTGGCACATACCATGTACGATCCAGACCAAGAGAGACCATGTCTCTCCCTAACCCAAGAGAGACATGAACGCACGTCAGTGCAAAATCACAAGCCTTCTTAAAAACAGTCAGATTTTTGCAACTTGACTACACGGTTCACTAGTGTAAATTTCAGAGATGATAACGTTGCCCACAGAAGCAAAGAGGTTGGACGATCCTGAGTTCTAGGCATTTGCTTCTTCTTTAAGTCTTTCACATAAAATGAAAGACATGGTTTCAGTTGTATCCAGTTCTATGCCTCTGGGTCTCCTGGGAGTAAAGCTGCAACTCTGCGCGGTAACAGCCAAGCTCTGAGGACTACAAAAGACTCCTAAAGCTAGCTTCTATCCCACACAGCAGCCATCCTGAGAAGCCCTGGCAGGAGAAACAGACTCAACAGCAATCACAAAGTTCCTACAGGTAGTTCAAGGTGAAAAGGCACTTGTCACTAAGTCTAACAACCTGGAGTGCACACCATGGAAGGAAGGTGTACTCTGACCTCCACGTGTGAATACCCACAGACACGCACATCTGTATCAAGGATCAGGACATGCCGCAGAAGAGGGGGGTGGAAAGAATGAGGTGTGGTGAAATGCTTCTTCGGGACACAACTTGGCCCTTCCACTCATGAAAGCACAGCAATGTGGTCACTGAAACAAGATAACGCCAGCCAACATTCCAGCATCAAATGGAGGTACCCAGAGGCCCGCCTCAGCCGAGAAGCTACTGGCTTCTGGGAGGGAGAGTCAGTTTTCTTTGGGGGTGTGGCTGCTGGGAGGTGGACCTGGTTCCACTGGATGGCCCACACCCATACATATGAGGAGAGCACTAATTAGATTGTATGTGTTATTAAGGAAAAAAGGACAGGAAAATGGGTGGGGGACATGCTGGGGGGGTGGAGAAAGGGGAGGGGGAGAGGATGTGTGAGTATATGAAATTATTAAGGAATAAAAATGTTTTAGAATACTTCCTAAAAGGCAAAAAAAAAAAAAAGTCATGGAATTAAATAAGGGTTTTGTAACTTGGCAGAGAAGCCAACTATCTAATAAGCCTTTACTAAAGAAAAAAGGGTTTCAAAAATTAAAAAGAATGCCAATCCCTCTAAACATTCCCCCCCCCACACACACCTCAAAGTTGTAAATCACATAGACGGGATATCATTTTAAGCTGTTACACCACCGTGAAGACAATGTGCCCCATGCCCCTTGTTGCTGTAGAGTTTCCGCAGACGAGAAAATTGAACTAATCACTAGAGCCAGAACCACAACCCAGGTCTCCAGACTCATTGCCAGTGTCTCTATGTTTCTCCCAATGCTGAGCACATCCTTAATACCACTCAGAAACAGTGCACACTCATTTATGTGAGACCCTAAACTCTCCACCATGTTATATCTGTGAGGGTCGCCTGGCTCAGCCAGCATCGTGGCTGGCTAGGAAAGCAATCTATCTTTGACCTTCAGTGTCCCCAAACACAAAGCAAATGGAAATCCCTATTCATAACCATGATGACTATGACTTCCATCTGCTTATGTTCAGTTCCCAACAGCAAGTGAGGATGGCTGAAATGCCTTCCACCAAACCCAACTTCCAGCGCTGTACAAAGAGGCTTTCAAAAGTTAGCACAATAGATGCCAATCTATAAAAAAAAAAAAAAAAAAAAAAAAAACTGAATCAGTAAAAAAAAAAATTAGGTTGGGCATGACATCACATGCCTGTAAGCTCAGCATTCAAGAAGGAAGTTCAAGGCTAGCCTGGTCTACACAGCAAGTTTCAGGCCAACTATGGATAGTTACTTAGAAAGACCTTGTATCAAAAAAACAAGTAATGGGAAAATAATAGAAATGTGCACAGGACACAGGTACACACAGCCCTTTCATTTATTCTGCAAGGGAGAGGTGCAGAAATGTCGGCGAAGTTCTATGTGGCGACACACTTCACTTAGGAGGGAAAAAGGGGAGGGGAGGCTGCGAAAGAACAGCTTAATTCCTTCTAACTTTTCGGGGTCAGGGACACCGCGGGATAAAGGTATGCATTTAAATAAGCTAGGGATGCTGTACCAAAAAAGCTAGGGTAGAAAACTGTAGATCCCTGGATAAAGAGTGCCGAGTTCTGAACCAGCGTTGCTCTATCGGCCTGCCAGTTTTCACTCTCGAGCTTAAAGGACCAGATTCACATCTCCGTGATGCTAATGAATCCCCCTCCCCAGCTCCACCCCCTGGCACAAAGGGGCACAAAGTTTTCTCTTCTCCGGTGGGAAAAGTACCAAAGGGAGGCTTGCTTGGGTCGGCTGGGCGATGGATCCAGGTTTGCCCATTCTGGTCCCTGCAATCATTAGTTCTCGTGGCATCGGTAGTACCAGCAGTGCCTGTGTGGACGGTGCTGATGACTTCTGCACCAGACTGCTTAAAAACTTCTTGTCCCAACCTCCCCGGGAGGCGGACAGCGATTACCCCGGCCTCCCCAGCGGTACCTGCGGGCTGTCCTGCAGCGCCTCCTCCAGCAGGAGCTTGTCGACGGCGGGCATGGCGCGGCGCGGCGGCGAGGGAGCGCGGGACGCGAGGCAGGGACGCTGGCTCGGCGCTGGATGCGGGGACGCTCGGTGCTCGGGGACTGGCGGCTGAGCCCCGCGCCTGCGCCTGCCCCGAGCCAGAGCCAGAGCCCCGCCCTCGGCCCCGCCCTCGGCCCCGCCCCTCGGCCCCGCCCCCAGGATCAACAGGAAGTGTGGCGGGCGGGCGGAGGACGGGACACCGGAAGTGTGGCGACTACGCTTCCGCCTGACCCGGCGCCCCGGGCTAACGGGGCGGGGCTGGGAAGTTCCGGCTCAAGGCCGCCCTCCCCTGCGCCTGCGGGTTGGAAGATAAGCTTTTATCTTCTCGCAGTTGCACAGAGTGCTTTTTCTGTGTGGGGGGAGATAAGAATGAACAGATTCTGCGGCTGTTTTCTGGCCTCTTTTGTCCCCCCCTCCCTTTTTGACCCAGGCTCTTCTGCATCCCAGGCTGTCTTCTAACTTTGTGTAGCTGAGGATGATTCTGGATTTTTGGTCCTACTGCTACCCGCTCCTGAGAGTGAAGGAATAGGCATGCAATTTCTGTGCAGTGCTTGGCATCCAACCCAGGGCTGCGTTCATGCCAGGCAAGCCCTCTACCAAAGTAGCCACATCCCTAGCCTTATTTTATTTTTTTGATTTTCGGGGTAGAGGTAGGAGTTGGGTAGAGCTGGAGAGGTGACTCAGTTATGGACCTGTGTTCGATTCTCAGCACCAGCACGCTGCTCACAAGGGGCTGTAACTCCATCTCTCATTGGTCTCCTTGGGTACTGCTCCCTTGCGCACATATTCCCTGCAGGAGCACGCCACACACACACACACACGCACACGCACGCACACACACGCACACACACACACACACACACCAATTTAAAATAAAATAAAGACAAAAATACTGTATTTAGTTGGGTATTGGTGGTGCATGCCTTTAGTCCCAGCACCCGGGAGGCAGAGGAAAGTGGATCTCTGTGAGTTCGAAGCCAGTAGGGTCTACAGAGCGAGTTCCAGGACAGGCTCCAAAGCAATACAGAGAAACCCTGTCTTGGAAAACTAAAACTAATTAATTTATTGAAAATTTTAAAATACTGTATTTAGTGTGTGGGAGTTAGAAAACAATTTGAGAGAGTTTTCTCCTTCCAACCATGTGGGTTCTGGAAATTAAACTAGGGTTTGAGGGTTAGTGCTATTAACCACTGAGCCATCTTGCCAACCTCTGACCTCTTTTTTAAATACCAGGACAGCCCTACACTTCTCACACCAATTTTACTAAATAAATCTCAGCACCTAAACAGCTTAGAGTGTGTGTGTGTGTGTATGTGTGCGTGCGTGTGTGTGTGTGTGTGTGTGTGTGTGTGTGTATGACTCATTTGTGATGTTTAGATCACTGCTGTCTGACTTGTGCCATGTAATTAAGTTTCATCCTCCTGGTTCGTTATGGTTTGTCATTTTGGAGGGTTTTATAATGAAATTTTCAGGATTGGAAGGGATAGATAATTTAGTTTGTGATGTCATTTAAACGTGAGAAAAAAGAACACCAGCGATGAAATGATTTAGTTAGGGCCAGACAGTGCAGGCCGGGGGAAGAAGAGAAAGTCCTGTAGAAGATCAAAAGAGAAATTTGGCATATTAAAGACAAGAGTTTCAACTGATTGACACACAAAATCAATAATATTTATCCAATGAGATGTCACCAAAATCAACAAAAGAGTTTAATACTGCACAAATGCCACATCTTAAGGTAACTACCTGAACGGTTAATGTTGATTGTGAAATCGGTAGGATCAGGGGTTGGTGAGGGGTTATTTAGATTAGGTTAGTCCTGACTGTCTGTGAGGGATTATCTCAAATTACTTGAGGTGGGAAGGTGTACCTTGAAAGTGGATGGCACCATTCCCTGGTCTTGAGTCCTGAACTACATGGCCAGCTCCTGTAAGCTCCTGCCTCCAGAAATTCCCTGCCATGAAAACTGTGAACCAAAATAAACACATTCTCCTTTAAGTTGCGTTTGTGGTATTATACAAACACAGTAGTAATGGTAACAAAGATACCGCCAGATTCAGTAGGAAAATCTGTGTTACAAGCACTGCTAAAGCAAACTCCAAGGTCATTAATCCCTTGGTTCTGGCCTGAGATATTTATGCCTTCTGTCTAGAACACCCCCCCCCCACCTCCCATCATGTTCCGTGTCGAAGAAATCATACCCACGCCGTGTTTCTTCCCCTTCCTTTATTTTCCTTCCAAATATTGTTTAATTAAATTTCCCTCTTACAATCTTCCAAACTCTGTCCTGACCAAAAGTGCCTTCTTCAAGGCCAGACTCCTGTTCTCCGCTTTCCCTGATTGTGAAGACTAGAACAGGATATGCTTACACCAGAGGAAAATGTATACCCTTCGTTAGAAAAGAGACATTAAGGGAGATAATACCCCACAAAACCCTTCAAAGAGCTCGGGCATCTCATGGGGAATGCAAATCATAATTTTCTTATATCATCTTCTAATTAAGTTACTTTTCTGAACACCAATATTCAAGATGATTTAAACCGCACTCTTACGCAATTGCATCCCCTTGCTACATTGTGGGCTAAATGGCCTTAGTGGGAATTCTTGGCACTAACTGCCATTTACGACAATTGTTTCTAAGGGAAAATGTGTCTCAGATTCAAAATAACAAGTTACAAAACAAATTATAGGAGTGTCTGTAGATTGTTTAAATTCACTTCATTAATTATTTCATACGATCATTCTTCCACGTAATACTCACTACTGAGCATTCAAACTCTCCCTTACTTTGTTGTCTTGATTATGTATGAGGAATTTTATGTGTTTGCAGTGTGCTTCTCAGGCGCCTCTTCTGGCAAGTTTGAGTCTGGCCTGCAAACTCTCCCCCCCTTCCTCCCTCCTCCCGTATGAAGAATAAGACGTCATCTAATACCTGGGCACTTGCTTGATAACTGCTTACTGAAAACCCCATGTATGTTACATAGCTAGCACTTCAGTCTTCCATGTGTTTCCATCAGGCTCTCTTCCCTCGGGGCCACACTGCTGTTCCTCCCATTACTCACTGTCCTGACTCTCTACGAGCAAGCGTAAGGGGAAGCACACTGGAGTCTTCTACACATGGAGCTTATATTTGAAAAGGGGAAACTGATAATAAATATGAATTGATAAGCCGATGATAACACCGAAGTGAGTTATTCACTTTGTCCGCACCTGTGGGACTGACCACGCCCATTAGGGGTGGGGACGTGTGTGTGTGTGTGTGTGTGTGTGTGTGTGTGTGTGTGACCTGGGGGAACCAGGTCAGGGGAAGGGGCTCAGAAAGCTCTCTTGCTTGCATCACTGGGACAGAGGCATCCTTGGGACCAGGAACCTGCTGGTGTCCATCTGTCTATGTTGTAAGTTATTTCTTTCTGAATAAACATCTATTCAGCTCATCTGTTTTTCCTGATCCTTATCAAACCACGATATAACACTTAGTGAAGAATGTAGAGGCCCATGGGATGTGAAGGAAAGAACAAGGGTTTATTGAGGTGGCTGCACTGGGGTTGAGAATTAAATAAAGGAAAAAACCAAGCCTAAGGAAAGGGCACATGCAAAGGCCCTGGGGTATGCCTAGCGGCATGAGGAAAAGCTAGTGGGCCTGGAGAGTAGAGGGGAGTGGAGGATGGGAGGAGACGAGGTGGCCACAGAGGACCTGAGCCTAGACAGTGAGGACTTTGGATGTTGTCCTGTGTGTGATAGGAGCAATATGAAAACCCGAGTGATAAGGCTTGACTTACATTATTAAAAAAAAACTTAATAAATATATTTATGATTTATATGTTAAGTGTTTTGGGGTTCTAAAGAAGCTATGGGAATCATCCAAGTAAGAGGTGAGGTCTGGGTCAGGTGTAGAGGTAATGGAGGGCATAGGGGACAAGTCACTGAAATCTGTAGCCCTGAGGACGCTGGCAGAAGCTGGGCCTAGTGCTGTGTGTGTGTGACCCTGGTAATAATGATGAGGAAGAAGAGCAGGTTGACGGTGACGTCGATGCTCTGCGTGGGCCAGTGCACCTGAGAAGCATTTCAGATGACCAGTGTGTGTGTGTGTGGGGCACTGTCTGGAGACTTCAATACACTCCTCTGCAGTCTGGCAGAGGAACTGGGAGTTTAAAACAGGACAGCAATTGACATTTCTTAGGGGTCAAATGCAGACAAGAAGAGGAGAGGTTGGAGGATTGAACTCCAAGCAAAACCCAGACCTATTGAGGTAGAAAGAATATGGAGAAGCGAATATACCCCTTCTACAGGCCTTAGAATTAGGAAACATAAAGGCAACCCCCTCCTACAGACTCCCTAAAACTGATCCACCGTGTCGGCCGGGCTGGATGACCCCTGGGCGTGGCTGTCCAGTGGCCTGCGGACTTGTCCATAGGTGTGGCTGTCCAGTGGCCTGCGGACTTGTCCATAGGTGTGGCTGTCCTGTGGCCTGCGGACTTGTCGTTATGAGGGTCAGCAGTAAACCTGGGAAGAAGAGTTATACCCTAAAAGCAGGACAAGGAGGGAAGATGGATGATTGCAGAGATTTTCCAGCAAAGAGAATGGTTCCAGGGGATATGACTGCACATGTAAAAATGCAAAGAGGAAGGTGGTTTTGTTCCTTTGAGCCAGGAGACTTTGCAGACTCTGAGCAAGTTATTTAACCCTCGTGAGCCTCACGTTGCTGCTCTGTGTGACAGGAGTGATAATACTGACCGCAGGCTGTTTCCACGGCTTTCTGTCTAGGTGTCTTGTATTAACTGGGACTTTTGTGGCTACAAATGACAGGAACCTAACTCCAATTAACTTGAAGTGGAAAGGCAGGAGAGGGGCTGCATTCCTCAGGGTTTGCTTGCTCAGGGAATGAGCTACGGTGTGGAGGGGCTGGCGACGCTGGAGGAGGAAGCAGCAATTGGGAGGTCAAAGCTGGTGAATAGACAAAAGAGACCCAATCACAACAGGGGGATGGCCTTGGACAGAATGTGCCAGGGGATGC